TCAAAATGGTCTACCGAAAGTTACTGCGTATCGCCTACCAGCCACTGGAGAGCCAATTGGGCAACTTCAGGGAGGTCGGGAGATTGATTTTGTTGATCCAGCATATGACGTGGAACCTGAGCAATCACAGTTTGGTTCATCTGTTGTTCGGTTCCATTATAGCTCAATGAGGACCCCACCCTCGGTTTTCGACTATGACATGGATTCAGGAGTGTCTGTGCTGAAGAAGATTGATACTGTAAGATATCAGTCGCACTGCTTTAAGTAGTTTTCTGTTATTTTGAACAAACTAATTAATATGTTGGCATTGTTTATTAACAAGGTATGTTCCTGAAAATAGGTTAGTCATGTTAGGCATGTATTGTGCACCTGTTTCTTAAATTCCACTCTGTTTGTCACCGTTGCTTAAAGCACAACGAACATCGATTACTTCTAACGGTATAGTTGATGATGATCTGTAGTACACTAACAGTATACACTGCCATTTTGTTCTAGCAAACCTAATGCTCGTAAAAATTATGAAAGAAATAACTAATTGTGAGAAATTTACTGATACGATTTTCATGATCAGAATGAGGTGCTGATCATAAGAAGTTTTCATCAGTGTTTTTTTGTTTTTATTAACACGAACTATAATTTGCACAATTATCACGTGTGCAAGCACTATTTTATGTGCAGTAACACCAGTATTAGGGATGGTAATGGGACTGTCCCTGGCAGGGGGCACAGCTCCCACCTCTGTCCCCTGACACCTAAAAATGCCCTGTTCCCCAGCACCAGCCAGGAGAAACGGGTCGCCATGGGGCTACTCACCAAAAAACAAATCACATCTTGGTTTATGATGCAAACTAGTAAGCGAAAACAAAATTTATCCGAAATCAGTGAAAGCAATAAAAAATTCAACGTTGCTAGCCATATGAAAGTACAAAACCGATTTCAAGAACAGATTGCAAGCCATATATGAAAGTGTCAATGCACAAAATTCTGAAATAACCAAATATATATGTTCACAAGTCACAGATCAAAGAACTGAGTGGAGTTGACTATGTGGGGGGAATAGATTGACGAGGAGGCAATGTACTAGTGCTTCGTATGGATTTTCTCTGCCCCTGTACTCGAAGATGGATGCCATTAACAGTGTGAAGTCCTGCTGCAGTGAGGCTCAGAGTCTTCATGGTGTGGCTGCCTTGATTGAGGGCAAGGGCAGAGTGTTCGTCATGCTCGAGGACGGGCACCTCGCAGCTGCCGTGCTTCAGGATGAGGGCATCATGGCTGGTGGCAGACGATGCAGCGAGTCGGCTAGGAGGACGGTACAGCAACGGATGCAGCGAGCCGGCTAGGAAGACGGTACAGCAACGGATGCAGCAAGCCGGCTAGGAGGACGGTACTGCAATGGTAGAGAGTGGAATGAGCGAATGAGTAATCTAGGGATTTGTTATTGGGTTTGGATTATGATACCATGGTTATGCATAGCCTGCATCGGCCCACGGAGCGGCGGGGCAGATGGGGACAGGGTTTTGTTCGGTATCTATTTCACTCTGACCAGCATATCTACTTATTGAGCTATCAGTAGAAGGGTGCTTTTATGAGCCTCTGCTAATTATTTGAGATTAGAGAGGCACTTCTACGAACTCTTTCTGACTTGAGATTTTAAATATTTTTTTAGGTTTTAGGTGGATTTGATGCATCAAACTATGTAACAGAAAGAAAATGGGCTGCCGCTTCTGATGGCACTCAAATACCCATGACCATTCTATACAGAAAAGATCGGGTGAATCTTGATGGCTCAGACCCAATGCTGCTATATGGCTATGGCTCCTACGAGGTAAGTGAATCTTTTTTCCTTTTTTTTCAAAGAAACAAGAGACAAAATCTGCATCTTGTATATCTTGAACAGAGCAGTCTGTTGTTTATGTCAACATTGTTTCATCAAGGATATACCAGTTAGAAAGGTTGTATGCAAATACCTATTTTGAAAATGCCATCTAGGACGCGAACATTCATTTAGAAAGTTTATGTGTTCATTTGACAAACATAAATTTGTATGAACTTTTCTTCTGCTCATGTGGAACCATGGTTCATACTTGTGTTATCAATGCTACTACCTCCATCCCGATCCCTTATATTTTGGGACGGAGGTAGTATTTGTGATGTTTTTTATTCATTTTACTTCTGGCAATATTCAACAGCTGATAAAACGTTTCCACTTTACTTCAAAGTTTGCAACTTGCATTGGGGGCTATTAACAGATTCGAAGTTCCAGCAAGAAGTAGAGACTTTGTTCTGTTTCATTATGCTAACCACACCTTTTATTTTCACATTCTTATGCCAACAGATATGTATAGATCCGAGTTTTGGGAGATCGAGATTCTCTCTAGTTGATAGGGGCTTTATATATGTGATAGCTCATATTCGTGGAGGTGGTGAAATGGGACGTAAGTGGTATGAGGATGGGAAGCTGTTGAATAAGAGAAACACATTCACTGATTTCATTGCTTGTGCTGAGCACTTGATAGAAAACAAGTACTGTTCCAAGGAAAAGCTTTGCATCAACGGAAGAAGTGCAGGTGGCCTATTGATGGGTGCTGTCCTAAATATGAGGCCTGATTTATTCAAGGCAGCTGTTGCTGGAGTCCCTTTTGTTGATGTTCTTACCACTATGCTTGATCCAACTATCCCGTTGACTACATCGGAGTGGGAGGTATCCATCCTCAGTTCTTATGCATTTATGCTAACTTTTATTTCCATGTTCAGTGTCTTTTTGTCATTTTGTGCATTAGCATAAATAAGATGTAGGGATTGTGACCTTTTGGCAAAGGCTCATTGCCTGGCAGGCTGGCACTCCTGAATCATGCCTGCTTAAAAACGTTGCCTTATTTTTTTACTAAATAGGTAAGCTACATATGTCTGTTACCAGTAGCTGAGTACAAACTGAACTAGAATGCTTGACCATCTAGCTACATCAACAAGTGATATCCATTCAACCATTGAACTTGGGTTAGGGTGGGCCTGCATTTTGCCTGTATGGTGCTCAGTCGACTTTGCATGTGCTCACATTGAACTGACTGAAATAAACCATGTATGAACCTTTGTTTGATAGTCAGAAGGATGGGGTCAACCAAGATTGCTTGGAATGCAGGTTAAAAAAAGGGCGCTGGCCCATATGGATGTCCAAAATCTTGTTATTCCCATTTCAGTGCTCATGTTTTATTCTAGTTTATCTTCTCTCTGTTCTGAGTCTCGACAACTCATCTTCTTGTCCTTCGGTGCAGGAGTGGGGTGATCCAAGGAAAGAAGAATACTACTACTATATGAAATCATATTCTCCCGTTGATAACGTAAGTGCTGATTGTTATGCTTTCTTGCACAGATTTACTGGATTAAGCTTATATATGCTATTTACGGTGGATGTTTTGGTGCTGAGTATATCAAGAAATTAGGACAGTACGGACCATCTACTTTACTTGTCCAGACATAGAAATCGCGATTACTAGAATGGAATCATTATGTAGAGACTCTGAACATGTGAATTGGAATGGTGGCTACGTGTTGCTATTTGTTTATGTTATTTCTTGTACACTATTATATCTATCCATTTTTGCAGTTAAAAGCACAAGGGTACCCTAACATCCTTGTCACTGCTGGCTTAAATGGTAGGTGGTCTTTCCATTTTGAGTTTCTGTTGACTGGTTAATTGATGTATCTGCACAGTTAACTAGTTTGTACGAACCAGATCCTCGTGTGATGTACTCGGAACCGGCGAAATATGTCGCAAAGCTAAGGGAACTGAAAACGGATGACAATCTTCTGTTATTCAAGTGCGAACTTGGTGCTGGGCACTTCTCAAAATCGGGAAGGTAAGCTTTAGATGCTGTCATTTTCGCACTTTGTGTTCACCAAAGGAATAAGATCCAACAAAATGAGTGACTGTTGGATGCTTGCAGGTTTGAGAAACTACGAGAAGATGCGTTTACTTATGCGTTTATCCTCAAGGCACTGGGAATGGCTCCAAAGGCAGCGTTGTAAAAGAAAGCCCTTCTGTTCCGGGTTAAGATGGTGGCGGTTCTCAAGCATTGATTGGCTGATTGTAGTAAAACTTAACTTGAGTCGATCGGTTGTGTTGTGTTGTGTTGACATATTCGACTAAGGCCCTGTTTAGATTTCAACTTTTTTCTTTAAACTTCCAACTTTCCGTCACATCGAACTTTTCTACACACACAAACTTTCAACTTTTCTGTCACATCGTTTCAATTTCTTCAAACTTACAATTTTGGCGTGGAACTAAACACAGCCTAATTGATGCAAGTCAGTCAGACATTAGCTATGACTATTGACTATGGGGTTGGTTGCCGCATTTTCATCCTACTACTGGTTTTCAAGGCCATTAGCTAGGACCTGCCGAAGACATACATGTATATCAGTACATGTATGCTACTATAGTTTGCAAAAATGGTTGGTTTGGTGATTTTTTTTTAAAAAAAAACTTAGGAATTGGAGAGGTTTTTTTGTTTGATCTTTAAGTGTATTGACCAAAAGCAGCAAGCTGGCCGGCTGGGTGGGCCAAAAGATTTGGAGTCTCGCATCGCTAGGCATGATATTTGTTGAATCTGTAATGTAATCGACTTTTTTTCTCAGATTTGTTCAATGTATCGTTTGCTGCGGCACCTTGGACATTCCAGCGTATTTTTGGCACCTAAAAGGGTGTAATTCTAACTGAATAAGGTCAGCTACAACTAGTTTTCAGAGATTTTGAGGACTTTGCCACGGACCAGCTGAATAAACACATCGTGTAGTTTTGATTCTTTGAGAAAGTTAATATAAGCCAAAACTATACTTTCTTTGATTCTTTGAGAAAGTTAATATAAGCCAAAACTATACTTTCTACGCGAAGCTGAATTTATGTACTAGTACATCATTGTAGAACTCATATAAGATGAAACGATTCCAGTTTGTAGATGATTCTTGCGTTCCCTGGGTCCCTTGGAGTATACTCAAATATATGTATGGCAATTCTTGTTTAGTTATCGCACCATGTCATAATTTGCTCCTTTCAAACTCGGTATGCATTCGGATAGTAATAGTAATGTGATCAGCTGAGCATTTGCTGACATTCGTGACATGCGATGCAACTGGTGGTTACTCAGAAACTGGAGTACATGGAAATTGCGTGCAAGCTTTGTTGTGGTGGTTAGTTTGATTCAGTGCAAGATGGAAATGCTCAGCCGAGTTGCTTGCCTACATTGGAAGGATGGATCAGTTGGCTGCCATGAAACATTTCAATTTCCATGTACTCCAGTTGTGACACCATGTCTTCTACATTTGCGAGCCACCAGCCAGACAGAAACACCAATCGCATTGCAAGTTTTAACACCAAATCTCCAGTGCTAAGTGCTAACCTACCAGGAATAATCATGGTCTATCTATGCTTGCTCACTGCTATCTTTGACTCGCCGGTGTTCTTTTCTTTCTACCTTCCTCGCTGAGCCACCTGCAATTATGAACGAAAATGAACTGTAACCTCACATACATATCACATTGACAAGAAACCAAGAATAGCACTGGTCTGTAGATTTTAAAGGACTAAGTATCAACTGAAAAATGGATGGGTATCATCGGAGGGAGGATGCTAAATCTGACTTAGACTGATTAGGGGCAAAGCGATCGAGCGCAGCTTGGGGTCTGTAATACAAAAACGCATGCTAGGGTGATGCTCTTCTGTTCCTAAGCAACAACAAGACGAACAAAATATATGGGAGAAGGAACAAGGCATACCCAGCCTGCGTCTGCTTCCTTTTTCCATTGGCACCCATTGGCGTCTTGGATCTGACTCCCTCAGACTCAGAGTCACTCGCAATGCTGGGAAAATACGCATCAGAATCACTTAAGAGAGCCAGTCTATCAAAAACACTTGGATCAATTGAGGTTTCCTTAAGTCGTTCTTTCAAAGTTTCCAGCAAAACAATCCCTGGAAATTAAATAAAACAATCGACCCAACATGGATCAGCAAGCAATGCGAGATAGATAAAGAGGATAAACAAGAATAAGAAATACCAAGAGCACGCAGCGTGGGAAGATCATAGTCGTGACCAAGCACAGCGAGGCTGGCATTTTCCGTGCATACCATGGCCAAATCCTTCAAGGTGATGAGCAAATCCTGCGATTGAGCAGCCCCTCAATCGGAGATGAGAAACCGGAAAAAGAATGAAAGGCAGTGGCAAAAGAGAGGAACATACAAGCTCGGGGTCGGAGAGGGTCCGGAGCCGTCGTGAGTCTTGTTGCTGCCCGCCACGAGTAGGAGATGATGGCTCTTCAGCGTTGGTAGACGCAGGTTTTTTAGCCTGAGTATTCAAAGTTAATTAAATTCATATATAAAGAGGTTCACAGAAACACAGATCAAAAGCAGTGGAGTACCGATAAATAAATAGTTCAATCGTAGAGATAATATAAAGTAAATTGAAAACAGAATAGAAAGAAAATAAATCCCTGCAGACATGCAATATTGATATCTGAATTATGCAGGTTAGGTTAGGGAGAAGAGGAAGCAGCATCGGCAATCTCATCTTGTTTCTTTTTGGAGAGAAAATGGATGAGATAGCCTGACAGACATAATATGTTTGCTGTATTTGGTTGGTATGATGTGCTAGTATTTGATTTGGTGTGAGAGAATCATTCATGTAGAGTATAGAATTGAGACCCTACATTCCCAATCAATAATGAGAAACAGTACTAGTATATGGGAGGGGTTGGAGTGGAGAAATGGAGGATGGGGAAACTTTTCACCTGAGCTGAGGTTGAGGCTGAGCCTGAGCTGCTGTGGTCACGGTCTGCTGGTGTGCCGACGTCCCTCATGCCGGTTGCCCCTCGTCGTCCTTCAGTGGCGGAGCCAGGATCTCTTCATGCCTAGGGCTCAAATTGAAGGCTAAAACTATCCATGACAATTCATACACTGAAGTACAGTGCGAGTGCTGAAAAAAAAAATGCAAGACTGAAATACGATTTCTAATCATACAACGAAGTACAGTAAAAGTACAATACCTAACGCAACATATCCTCGTAATTTTCACTATTCATTAACAGTACTACGTAGAGAACCTGAAGTTGAATCCAGAAAATAATATTACATATGTAAGTGATTCATCCATTAATCATTCATCTTGTTCTGCAGCTCAGTTTTAATAATGTTCATAGCTGAGAAGGCTCTTTCTACCATTGCCGTAGCAACGGGCAAAATTAAGGCTAATTCAATTAAGCGATATAACAATGGAAAAACCGTGTGTCTATTACTTTTAACCATCTTCACAGGCTCACAGAAAGGTTGATCTTGGTCAGAGCAGCTTGAGAAATCCAAATCAGATTACTTACATCACAGATAAATGTGTCAAGTTGATCTCTGAAGACTATACAATCATATTCAAAATAGTCTGCCGCATATATCTTAGCAAGTTCAATGAGCTTATCTTCATCATAATTGGTAAAAGAATTCCTTGGATCAAGACAAGTAATGCATCTCAATAGCCGAGTAGACCTTTCAGCAAAGCGATTGTTTAAATCAACAATAATTTCATCAAGTACCACATTAAATATTTCATTGCTGAAATGATGCAAGTAAGTTACAAATTGTTTGTGATGTTTCTGGGTTGGAGTGGACTCACTAGACTGGACTTGGTAGAATTATTTTAAAGTTCTATCCTCTTCATCTAAAAAATCAAAGCAATTTCTAATTGAGACTAATTGCTATCAAAAGCAGAATAAGGATGTAGATCGAACATCAAAGATTAGAGAGAAGATTGACCTGGATTTGATTTGGGGAATCAAGCTTTGGATGAGAAAGGGGAACTGCGACGCCAATGCGCGCGCCGCTGCCGAGACACGCCGCCGATGCGCAGCGCAGTCGTTACAGAGGAAGCGCGCTGCCTCCTTCCGTCGATTCGCGCCGCTTCCTTCCGCCCCGATGCGTCGCTCGCTGCCGCTGTGGTGGGTGGTTTTGGTTTTTCTTTTCTTGGACAGAGAGCTAGCAGCAACTGGAAAAGTAAAGGATGGGGAGAGATGGAGACAGATGGGCGGGCGAGCACTTGGCCACCGGCGGCGGCGGCGGCGGTGGCGGCGGCGTTGTTCGGAGAGGAGTCGTCGGCCCCCCGGGAAGAAGGAAGAAAGAGACAAGGGAAGGCAACGTTTCGGCCCAATACCTTCATGGGCCGGCTGCTCCGATATACTGCTCTCCATGTGTATACGTATGGAAAATAAGTTCACTTTGAATACCTCGATTTGGTCCCTGAACCGTAAAACCGGATACAACACATCACCCAACTTAAGTGCAAACAAAGTTCCCCGGCAATATTATCCCTGGTTTTGACACCTACATGACTTCTTTGATTAGGTCTTTGTCCCACGTCACATTGACGTGACACTTACATGATAGCTCGATAAAAAAAGAGCAAAATTGAAAACTAGAAAATTGAAATAAAATATATTGAGGCCCATATATCGGTTAAACAAAAAGATAAAAATGCCACCCTCTCTACCTCTATCTCCTCCCTCCGCTGGCAAGCTGAAGTTAGTAGGGAGGCCGACGAGCGGGGTGGGAAGGGAGGATGCGGGAAGGGTGTCCATAACTCCATGTCAATGAGGAGGGTGACGAAGGGGAGTAGGCCAGAGCCAAAGTCGACGATGACACCGATGCCAGTGTCTGCGCGGGTTGTGAAACTGAGCCGCTCCAGCCCGTTGCAGAGAAGGGGTGCTGGTGTGGTGCTCCCAGAACGCGACCTCCGGATGGGCGTGGATGTGGTGCCACACGCGCACCATCCAGTCCCGTGCGCCACAAAAGCGCCTCCTCATAACTTGTAGAGGCAGAGGAAACAATAAGGAGGAAGAAGAGAGGAGCCACTCTTTCTCCAATTCGGTCACCACTGCTACGATTCGGTCTCCGCCGTACCTCATTTCTCCTATGCGAGCTCCGCCTGGCCTCCTCTTCCTCAGCTGCTCCCTCATCAACGTGTCCACTAGCCCTGAGGAGATTGTTTGCGCCAATAGCCCAAAGCCCGTCATGTGGAACAACGTCACTATGACCGGCAACGACGGCTTGCCACTTCAACTTCGATGGCTTGGCGGATGGAGGAGGAGCAACACTGTCAAGCCGTCTTGTTTTGAAGGAAAAGAGACAAGGATTTGGGGAGAGATGTTGGAGAGTCGACATTAGCGAAGATGCTCACTCCCTTGAATCTGGAATCGTAGTTTGACCTTGGCGACATTGCGACAAGGTGGCGCAGCGCAAGCTTGACGACGAGGTGGCCCAACTGGCCCTTTTCCGTTGCCTCTGTCGTATCCTCCTACTTCACCGAAGACAGCTATGACCCCCTCTCCTCTTCTACCACTTAGGTCCACCGGAGCCCCTCTTCGCTAATTGCCCACAGCAATCACCACCAGCCGCATCCGGGGAGGAAGAGAGGAGAAGGGGAAGGAAAGTGCCACCGCCTGGGGGAGATAGAGGAGAGAGAGAATGAGGTGGAGGAAGTGGGCCGCACTGAAACGTGGGTCCCACTATTTTTTAATCTTATTGTTTGACTGACATATAGGCCCACATATTTTGTTTTTATTTTTAAATTGTTAAATTTTGCTTCATGTGTCACATCAGATGAAGACTGAGTCAAATTAGCCACGTAGACACCATGTTAGCTTAAACCTCAGTTTAAACTGTCTTAGGACCTATATTGCACCAGTTGTGATAGTTGAGGGACTCGTTGTTTTTGTATTGCAGTTCAAGGTCGAAAATGCTGTCAAGTAAAGGGACCTAAAGTGAACTTATTCCTATATGTATGTACGCATGAATTTGCTTTGCTGAATTTCTGTTGAATCAATCACCTCTGAGCAGAGCTTTGAGAAGAGGAAAGTAAAAGATCGGGAAGATAAAGATGAGTCATTAACGTCTAATTAATTATTAATTATTTTAAATTTTAAAAAAAGTTAATTTGATTTTTTAAATTAACCTTTATATATATATATTTTAAAATAAAAATGTACCGTCTCGTTGTTTGAAAAACATGCATACAAAAAACAAGACAAATCCTTTTTTGCGTTGTCGACAGTTTAAAAAGCGTGCATTCGTAAAACGCATTCGTAAAACGACACACATCTTCCTTTCTTGTTTTTTCTCCTCTTGTCGACATTACACTCTATATATAAGGGGAAAAACTACATTAATAACAAGTTTCGGTCCGTAAAAGAAACAGCAGACCTGACAATTCATTGCATCACAAAATTAGTACTAGCATGTCGTGCTGTGCCAAAGGAGTATAATCCTACAGTGGAAGGAACAAGTGATAAACAGATAGACCAATGAGTCAGTAACCACCATTTTCCTTTTTGTTTTCTTCTAGCAACGTGTTTACAATTGATTGAAAGTCAATCCCACCAATGAGAGTATGAGACGAGACGAAAGAAAACAGTAGTGTACTCGCTCTCCTGTCTAAAAAAAAGTACTAGTAATACTCCTCTCCTGGCACCTATTTTTCTCTTTGCAATTGAGCGCCAGTGAAGAATGAATGAAAATAACAGTTGGTATGTATGCCTATCTCTATTTTATGGCAGTTGCACATCACCACCATCATCATCTTAGTTAGTTGGTGACCTCCTCCTCCTCCTCCTTCGCCTGGCAGCGGGCCAACACGCAGTCCTCCATGAATTCAGTGAGCTGAGAGGTATACAGCTCTGGATTGCTCCGGTAGTGGTCGACATGAGGCGACGACACAAAGTCGCATGCTCTCACCTCATGCCCGGCTCGCCGTTGACTCTCCACGAACGACTCCACCGACTTGGCCGGGATTACCCTGTCAGCAGAGCTGTATATGTACAGCTGTGGGCATTTTGGCTGCTTCGACGACAATAGCTCCATCACACCCGACAACTTCCTGTTGTTAAAACCAAAAGTAAAGTTGCTTATCAATCAGTTATTTGTTATTGTCAACGGCCTGCATCTATCTTCTATACTTAACTGAGATTCAATCAAAGTCATACACTTTATGGACCAATTTTTCTAAGCATCAATCAAACAATGCACAATTGTGGTGTGACCAGACAGAGACAGACCACAACAGTTGGATTGGATGGAATAAAAGGCACAGAGATAAGACCCAACTTTTCTCAAAATGCTAATGACTACTTGTGAACATGGCTGAGATGTTTACCTATTGATGGCTGGGTAGTTTAAAACAACATCGAACAACTTCTCCAGCGCTGAAAGTAGAATGGCCTCGCTAACTGCTGGCTTGGGATGATCCTTGTTAGACTCCACAACTAGGACATCGGGCCTTGCATCATTTGGTTTCACTCCTTTTGCCGCTACGCTGTGTTTTTTCATGATAGCAGCTGAGAAGCCTGAAGCCCAAACCTGTGTTCCAACAAAACATGGCAAAGTAACTGCAAATGTGAAAGAATGAAATAATAATGAAGCACGTCCATTTGACACAACAATGCAACACAGGTGCGCACAAAGAGACAATTAGCCAACAGTTCAAGAAGCATAAAATCATCTCGAATGCTCACGATGAGTTCTTTGAACCATGCAATTAAATAGCAAACCCTACTTTTGTTCCAATAAAGTTACGTGTTCTAATATACCTGAGAATCAGGGACAGCAACAGGCGCTGAGTCCACTACGCAGCCCTTAATTTTGTCCATTGCAGAAGGATCCTGCCTCTGTAAATTCTCCAGTATCACCCCATAGCTGAAGCAACAGATATAAAAAAAATTAAGCCCGAAATCTCAGAATGAATGCTAATTGTTAACGAGAGGAAGAGCATAATTAATACCAAAGCCAGCCAGTGTTACTGAAGGTGTGGAAAACAATCTTCTTCCCATCCTCCTCGCTAACCCAATCAGCGAGATGTTCTGAGAGCATCTCTACATTCTTCTCAGCCTTCCCTCCAACATTGTAGCTAACAATGTCAGACATGGGGAGGGTGAAGGTCACTGCATGGTAACCCCTGGAGGTATACCAATCGGCATATCTCTTGAGGTGCTTCTGCCTCGAGCCCAACCACCCGAGCAGAACCACCACTGTCTGAGACTTGCCATGTGAGTCACCGCAGACCTTAGGGTCCGGCAGATGCCAGAGGTACAGAACATCCGGCGATGACGAGGATGGCATCGCAGTCGTCACTGCCTCCTCTTCCGAGTAGTATTTGGCAAACTTTGCATAGTGGTAAACCGTGTGGATGACAGGCAAAGATGCAGGAGGCGCCTTAGCCGGGTGCGAAGTCTGCAGATTGCGTGGCAGGAAGTGCAGGCGAGACATGGCAGAAGCAGAAGGTGCTGCTGATACATCGGGCCTGCTGGCTGGAATCGAGACGACAGCTTCGGCATCCACGGTTGTGTCAGGCAACTTGTGGTGAGACAGCCTGTCAGGCAGCTCAAGGGAGGAGACGGCGGCAAAGGCGGCAACTGCCATGGCAGAGAGGGGGCGGTGGAGCGAAGCCATCATGGAGAGGAGAGAAGTTGTTGTGAATAATCAGATTGTTGTTTAGTCTCCGGCCTCGTGTTGCCCTACCCTGTTTCATAGGAGGAGAGGAAAGGAACAACCAGAGTTAGCTGTCAGTCCGATCCGGTCATAACACGCGGTTTGCAAAAATTGAATTGAATAGGATTCGGTTGGAAATACTAATAAAAGCATATGCGTGGCGTAGGCAATTGAACAAGTATGATAGGCACATTATTTGTGTCCCAATTGACCAAATCTCGCAATAATCTCAGCAGAGAAGAAAGAAAAAAAATGGGTTGATGATGATGTCTTTGTCGGAAGGGTCAAAATAAGTTATTTTTACCTGTGGAGGTGGAATTGGAGAGGTCAAATTGACAGCCAAGCCCGGTAAGCTTAATTAATCCCTCCCACTGTTGCGTTGCTCCTTCCTTGTTTCCTGCAATCGAGAAATCCAACTCGTCAGACAAGGGAAGAAGGCAGTTAGTCAGAAATTGATGGGACGGTAGTAAAAACGAAACCGAAGAAACGCCTTTCTTTTTCTTTTGCAACAAAGAAACAATAAAGGAAGGAGGCGTCGTCACAAATTCACAAGAGGAGACTAGAGGTGACACGGCAAGCAAGAAAGGAGGAGCTCCTGCTTTCCCTTCACGCAGCATTAGAGGGAGGGAGAATGAGATGCGTAGAAGAAGGAAGGAAGAAAGAACAACAAGGGTGCTTTGACTCTGACTCGGAGAAAGGAACTTGTTCCAGGAAAGCTGGAAGGAAATCAATTCGCCCCCTTGGTCGTCGCAATTAATTGAAGGAAAACAAATCATCGATCGATCTGTAGGCTATAGCAGGGGGGTGCATGTGCAAGGCAGGATGAAGGAGAATCGAATTGAATCCATGGATCATGGATGGAGGGGGAAGTCGTCGACGCTTACCAGGCAGGCAGGCACAAGGAAGGAAGGAGAGAGATTTACCTGGTAGCTGTCGCCAAGAGGAGAGGAGAGATTGCGGAAGGGAGGGAGGGAAGCTTGGGGGGGGGGGGGCGCGGCGGCCGGGGACGGGGAGGGGGGTGCCGGCGCCGCCTCCCTTCCTCCCTCTCTCGCCCAACCTCAACCTAGTTAACCTCACCTCCCAATTTCTCTTTCTTTTGTTTTTGTTTTCTTTCGCCTCCTCTCTCTCTCTCTCTCTCTCTGCGTCGTCTCGTCACCACCGCTTTTTTTTATTATTTTATTTAAAGGCCAAAAACAAAAGGGCCCTCCTCTTCCTCCTGTTTATTCCCTGGAATATCCACCAAGCCCCAAATCCCGAATGCTCCATGACTGCTCCCTCTATGCCTCTACACGTTCAAACTCTATACGGTCTTCAAACATAGTAATCTTTAGTTTTATAGCAACAATATTATCATCGTATAAAAGTAAATTCAAATAATAATATTTTGTATATTTTAGAAAACACATCCTACCCCTATAAATATATCTAAAGACTCATCGATATATCTTAAGGTAGATAAAGTCATCATCAAATATCTGATTGTCGACGAATATATCGTTACCATTAAAAGAATAATAATTAGTTATCTCTATCTCTATCTCTACTACTTATAAAAAATAAAAAATAAAAGATGTTTCCACCGTCCGTATAAAATAAAAAGGGCGACAAAAATTTTTGTCTTAAAATAAAAGGAAAAAAAAAGAATGTCCGACTCCCCTAATAAAAGAAAGCGCTGGACTCTTAAAAAAAGGACTTCTCGTACGTGGAAAAAAGATGTCCAACTCCCCTAATAAAATAACGCCCGACTCCCAAAAAAAAAAGACTTCTCGTCCGTTAAAAAAAAGTCCGTCCAAAAAAAAGGTCCACCCTAAATTCTATAAATATCCATATATTTTCTCCTCTAATTAATTAGAAAATCTGTTCCTTCCACATCCTTTGCTACATGATTTCCCTTTTCAATTTGTCTTTAATTTGCCGGCCGTTTAACTATTATCAATGATGGCCGACCGACGATATTTTTTCTTTTTTATCCTATTATTTTTTTCTTTTTTATCCTATTGCAGATTCGCTTTGATTTTGGAAAAAAAATGAAAATAGGAGATCAAGTGGATCAAAAGACCTCAATAAATTTTTAGAGGTTGGGTATATTTAATAGGGATGATCGGCTATGCCATCATACATATACAAGACTGTATTTGGAAGCTAGGAGAGGCATGTCAGGTGAAGGGTCCTCAACTCCGAATAGTTATTATACTACTGAAAAAAACCTTTACCCGTGCGTTCTTTACCCGTTGCAATGCACGGGCAAGTTTCCATCATCTATAAAAAAAAAGGAAAAAAAGATCCAAAAGTGAGAAAAATGCCATTTATAAGATAATCGGTTCGGAAAAATCACCTGACTCAACACGAGCAGAAAAAACACCGGTCCGAAAAAAATGTCTGACTCAACGTAAGATAAAAATAGTTTTATATAAAAACAAATAAAAAAAGTCTGATTCCACATGAGAAAAAGCGGATCGAAAAAACCGTTCGACTCCACGTGAGAAAAAAAAGTTGTTTATAAAAAACCGCTCTAAAAAGAATTATCGACCCAACGCGAAAAAAAGCTTGCGCTTATAAATAAAATCTGATTCGGCACTGTGCAATGCAAAAAAAAATGTCAGATTCAAGGAAAAGAAAACATCCGATTCCATGAAAAATAATCATATCGTATATATTGTTTTATGTGCGTCTTGATAGCTAATATATGTTTTGTCTAGAGTTGACCATACGAGATATTGTAGGATTTGATTAATCCTATTATTAGTTGCAAGAATGAGATTAAAATAGTATTTCAGATTATATGTGTAAAACCACTATTAACAACCAAATTTGGCAATATCAGCATCGGAAATGAAGATTAGATCGAGGCGAAATCGAAGTCGGAGATCGATTCGGGAACAGAGTAAGAGTCGGCTGGAGTCCAAATCGACTACGATCAGAATCAGCTGAGTCCGAGTCAGACTGGGTAAGCCGATACAGCCGATTCTGACAATACGATTTGGTGTGCGACATCGGGTTGAGTTGATATGCTTCAAGATGATTGCCACGCATGGATAGAGTCCTAAGGCAATTGTATCTATTAATTAGGATATTTTATGTAGTTTCCTTAGAGATATGTTTGGGCAAAAGTCTGTCGCAAAGACTTATGGTATCTTATAGTTTGTTAGAGATAAGAGTCGTGTCCGGTATGGACATAGTTTGTAATTCTCGGGTATAAATAGACCCCGAACCCCATGTAATCAAACAACACACACGTTCAATACAATCTCGGCGCATCGCCACCCTTTTGCTTTAGGTTTATTTCGACGGGTTCTTACTTTCGGGTTGAGCTGCATCGGTTTCGATCTTCAACAAGAGGTAAAACTTGTTATGACGGCTTGCGTTCTCGGGATTAGTGCTTCCATCTTTATGATACTCTAATATTATTTATGTAATTCGTCGAGTTATCATATATCTCATATAATCTCTGGCAATATTGCTATCTAACCTACAATCGACTAACATCTATCAATAGAGGGCAGCCGATTAGGTTAAATATCAATGTTGACTTAGATTATATACAATATCTACCACTCTATGAAACTTCCAATGGCTTGATTATCTAGATATTGTTCTTCTTTTCATACTTATAGCTACATCAGTTGTTTGATCTTATGAGTCGTGATTAGAATCTCAATCTCTAGCCTGCTTCTTGGTTGCCGATGTAGGATCGAGATGTCGACTAGAGGGGGGTGAATAGGCGATTTAAAACTAAATGACACCTAATCAAAACTAACCTAAGTTGCTAGGCTTGGTGAGGGTGAACTCTAACTAAGCAACTAAGTTATGTTTTGCAAATCTAGGGTGATAGTGGCTCAATTATATCTCTAGGAAAGTAAATCACACTCCTATGTCAATGTTTAGCAATCCTAGGGTGATATGATCTCAAGTATGTCTCTAGAAATGTAAATTGCACAAATGTAAATGCGACAATCAAATGAGACAAGGAGACAAGAGATTTTTCACCGAGGTTCGGAAACTCGCCGGTTTCCTACTCCCCGTTGAGGCGAGCCAAACTCCACCGCTCAACCATGAAGCCACCGCACGCCCCCTTCGTCAAGGGATGGGCAAGGCGGGAGTCGGCCCATGGAGAGGACTACCCAAGCCTCGATCAATAGGGTAGTTCTTCCTTCACTCCGAAGGTGGTGAACTCCAAACCACTCACAAACCGACGCCGGGCCTCCTCTACAATCTTCTCGGAGAGGTCACCGGGCAACTCCTCCACAAGCCGTCTAGGAGGCGGCAACCTCCAAGAGTAACAAGCAATGACCCGGCGTGGAGATGATCAATCAAGTGCCACACTAGCTCTACAAATGGAAGCAACGTACTTGACTCTTGGCTAATTAACCCCCTAACACACTAGATGGATGAACACAAAGCTCAAGTGGGTGTGAGAGAGGTGCAAGGGGTGTATGCAATTGAATTGGGTGCCAAGAGAGCCCCCTTGCTGCTGGAGGGGGAGTATTTATACTCCCACCAACCAAAACTAGCCGTTGGGGATGAAATCCCCTAACTTTGTGCTCTGCCGGTCTAACCGAAGGTATGTGGCCGGTCAGACCGTGGTACTCTGCAACGACTAGAAAACTAGCCGTTGTAACACTGTCAGAGGGTCCCATCGGACTGGCCGATCAGACCGGCGTTGAGTGGGCGGTCAGACCGGCCTTGGCTCGGTCAGACCGCCATCAGCTCGGTCTGACCGAATACGGCTATGTATCGGCCATCCCGAGCAGCACCATCCCGGCCTCTAGGGGGCCGGTCTGACCGCTCATGTGCCACCGGTCAGACCGGCCTTATGCGCCGGTCAGATCGCCGTCTTGCGGACGGTCAGACCAGCCAGGGCATGCCGGTCAAACCGCCACTATGTGGCCGGTCTGACTGCCCCTAGTCAGGCCGAAACCAGTGAAATCCCAAGTGATTGTGTGTGTGATGAAAAGCGAGCACAAGTCTAAATGCATAATGACCTAATGTGGCAATTAAAATCATCTCTTTGCTAGGTCATTACCCCTCTTAATAGTACGGCGAAACTAAAAAGTAAACTAGCAAATTTGATCACCCTACACCTCGATCAATTCTAAATTAAAGCACTAGTTTTACTGTCTTCTTTCTCTTTGCTTTGCGCCGTCAATTTTAATCCATCAATAGTCATCCATGCGCACACATGACGTGGACCTAACTTAAAATATTATCTCCATAGCAACGGTTAGTCCACAATTAGCGTTTGTCATTAATTACTAAAATTAACAACGGGGACCTAGATGCTTCAGCCGATTAGGGTATTATCGGAGTTTCAGCCGATCTTACCTGATTTAGCTATATTTGTTTTATGTGCTTTATTGACATGTTAAATCTGCCCTTTACGTTGAGATCTTGTTGCATTTAAGTATATTATACTTTTGTTTGGTATATTCTACTTGCTTTAATATCTTAGTATAGAGTGGTATCGGAGTACTAGCCGATACATGCTAGATCTATCTGATCGGCTATGCTATGAACATATATAGTCCCATTATTAATATATATTTCGATCTAAGTGATTTATACTGTCTCGGCATGGCGACCGATCTATCCCAATCACTTGATTTAAGTATATATCGATATAAGGAGTATATATTGTTAATATCTACAGCCGATCGAGTAGATTTAGTTCTTTCTTATTTATTCATGACTGCCGATCGATACATATATGACATCGGCTCAAAGATAAATGATATGTCATCGGCCCTTAGCCGATCAGCTATCATTTATAAGTTTAACCGCGGTTTCTTTGTCTTTATTTCTTTTTGATTGCAGGATCAAATCAACTGGCACGCTAGCATACCCGAAGGCTAGTTTTTGACCTGCACTGGAGTTAAGCAGATCTCCCAGGCCTCGTGTTTTTCGTCAACAACCACAAATAATCGAATTCTTTTGGGTAAAAGAGGCATAAATAATGTTGCCGCATCACGCATCATCGAGGTTGGGCTATTACATGGAAGATGTTCCAATTTTTCTTATGATATGTCTTAGTTAAGAACGATCGATACAAACATTATCATTGACATGGTTATACATGTGAAATGTGTATTGGCATTTATTTTTTTCACCCGTTGCAACGCAGGGGCAATTTTGCTAGTAAATACAAACACACAAGTCCAAGCGAGCAGAGGAAGCTATACGAAGCATTTGCATGCGGACTCCTGTTAATAGCAGCTAAGGACCGAATGGAGGAGGAATGGAATGATAACATCCTTTTATCTTGTGCCGTGCGTGCATCCTAAGCTCACAGTGCCTACTACTCCTTTGCATTTGCAAGCCTTTCAACCTCACCCAGCAGTCTAGCTGCATGCCACGCGACAGTCATTCCATGCTGCTAATAAGCATTTGTACTCCACTTGAGACAGTGAGAGCATATACATTGGTCAGTGTCAACAATGCATCGGATTCGGATGACCATGAATCTGAAGCAGGTCAGCTTTTTCTCTTACAAAAACAGGCCTGTTTGCCATAAGCCCCAGGACCCTCCCAGGGGTTCAGATAAAACCGTTTAATTTATCAATACCATAAATAAATACACAACAATCATTTTCTTCATCAATGGTATAGTTTATATCTGTAATTGCAGTACTAATTTGCATTGCAGACCCTAACAATGATTTATCAGCTCTTGTTTATGTTACATTACAACAAGTCAAATAAATAATAAATCTAGTGCTAACAGATCACACGACTTCTCGGTTTTCAATTTCACCAGTGCGATGAAAAGACTATGATGATATATCTCATCAATGGTCAGGCCAGAACCTAAGCTCCTCAAACACATCAATTGTGATATCGCCCCCAAAGAAAAGAATTGCCCACAATCTTGCATCCTTCACTCTTCATCACCTAGTGCTACATTCCTTTCAACTTCAGCTGCACATCACTCAGCCCAGTCCTCATCGCTATCATCGTCCACGTTGTTATCCTGTCATATGCTGTTAGGATTAGCTGGGAGGACGGCACAACCTCATAACAACAAGAAGAAGAATAAGAACAATGGCCATAATGTACCAATCTACTACACTCTAGCTATCAGAAAAACAATCACCTGGGAGGAACTTGAGAGCACTTCAATTTTGTCATCTTCTACCTGTGACAGAAAAATGAGAGGGCAAAGGCAATCAGCAAAGTAAACAATGGGAAGGGACATTCAAATTAAAATCCCTGATCATTGTTGCTAAGTAAAGTACCTGTGTTTTTCTCCTTTTCTGACTTCTGCCAGCTACATCCATGTAAATACAATAGTCAGCTTCATATGAAGAATACTAACATGTACTGATGTACTCAGTTAAAGAAAAGCTGATAGATCGTTGCATGTTGTGCTAAGAGCCACTAAAATGCATTTGTTTTTCCCCCATGCATCACAGCTTTTACCCAGCAATATCAAGTCTTGTAAAATTCAAATAGCATATTTAGTATAGAGCCGCCGCAATAGATTTTAATTCCATCATTTATTCCGATTCGACAGGCTTGAGATGGTCCTAAAGCTTCATGAAATGGATTAACATTTTAAATGCCCCTTACATAGACAAAAGCTGAAAGCTTCTCAAGTAAGCCTCCCAAAACCTTTGGATTATTTTAGAACAAGTCTTCTCCATTGAGGAAGGCCTTCAGAGGCTTAAAACAAATGTAATCGCACCAAGGTCTATTAGATGCTTCTTAACAACAGACTTGCTACTGCACTTACCACTCTTCTTCCCTGTTGGATGTTTTTCCTCTGGACTTGCTCGCTGCTTCTTAGCAGCAGGTCCTGTAGAACAATGCCAATCACAGATCCAATCAAAAGGAATTTTCTTTGTGTAATAAAGGAAAACACAAGAAGCCTAGAATTGCGTAAATATGAAGAACCTTTTGCTGCTGGAGATCCTTTCGGGCTTCTTGTACATCTCTGAAATAGAAATCCTTTTGTCAGATGCTGAACTAATTTATTTGTACCAGGCATGAAAACAGATAATGTTCAAAACACATATACGGAAAAAGAGGTATGTTGTGAAGTTGGTTCAATTAATGCATCAAGCAAACATTATATCAAAGTTAAGGGTATAACTGTCCGCTATCATAAGGAGAGAAACTATTATAATAACAGGTATGCATTTCCACCTTTTTTTTCTTCTGCTTTTTTAAACATGCTAGACAGAGTGGCCTGAACGAGTGGCTCCTTCTTAGCTGAGATAGGCTGCGCAGACCAATCTGCAGGTTTAATGTCTTCACTTTGGGATTCATTCTTAACTGCTGGACTCTTCATCTGCTTCAAACGAAGAAAGCAAATAAACACAATAAAATTATTTACAAAAGATAAAAGCTTGATTGACATTGATTCATATATCTGAATCTTATAAAATTAAATTCGGTATCACTACCTTCTCATCCATGTCCTCAGGGACATCAATCTCATCGTCATTATCAGATGAATCGTCTCCAGATGATATCTCAGTATACCTGCATAAAGAGCGAGGGATCTATCAAGTATACCTTTTTATTCTTTGCCTTTTTTCGGGTGGGTGGGAGATGAACATATTTGTTTTTAGAAACATTAGCCGTTAAGCCAAATAAATGCAGGAAGTAGGCAATCTTTCAGCTGCTAAGCAACAACTAGAGCCCGTGTGCTTTTCTGTTTATCCGAGAGAGCAACAGAAAAGGGTGAAACTGACTTACTTCAAGGCTTTCCCAGCAGTTCTAGCAGACTGCCTAACTGAAGGTGCTTGACTAGTGCTTTGTGTGTTATCCTCGTCCTTAAGGTCTGAATCCTCGGAAGAATCAATGTCAGATTCAATCTTAGGGGAAAGGGATCCTGTGGTGGTTTCCTTTGGCGGTTTATTGATGGAAACAGCTTCATCACAGGAAGCACCTGCTCCACCTTTAAAATCAGAATCTGCAACCGCCTCATCCTACCAGTCTGAAATGAAGAAGCACATGAGATGAGAGGCACAGTAGCGTCGTAGAAGAAGCGAAAATTAAGAAAAAGGAAGTAACATATATGGATGGAAAGCACACGCACATTCTGGAACTCTTTTGGAAAATCCAGTTTCAGTTCTTGTGGGTTTTCTTCTTCTTTTGTTCCAATCCACCAGGCTTCAGAAAAAACAATCTGCCAAATAAAACAGCAGCATAAGTAAGTAGTTAGCAATAACAGCCCAGAGAAAAGGGACGAGCATAGCAGCAATTGTGCGGATGCAAGTTCCAGTTCCAAGATAGATAGAGGGCAGGGCAGGCAGAGTAAAGATGTGAAGTTTGAAGTAACCAGGCTCTCGAAGACGTCATCTGCAGTGTCAGATACTTGTTCTTGGGGTACACATGCGTCCCCAACAGCTTCATCCTCCCCTGAAACATTCATTACCCACAATAAAACATGCATATCATATCATCTCACCTACCTGACCTGACGGAATAGATAGATAGATATAGGATACCTGTGGGAAGTCGAGGTAGAGCAGAGGATTTTTGGTGCCAAGATCAGCGAGCTCGCCGACGCGGCCGCCCGAGGCAGCAGCCGCGGGCGCGAGGAGGCCGGGGAAGGAGAAGAGGAAGCGGCTCTTGCGCTGCCCGCCGCGGCGCACGATGTCGCGGCCCTGCAGCCGCGACACGGCAGTGGAGGGCGCGAGAGCCGAGCGCGGCGCCGCCGGCTCCCCGCGCTGGAGTAAGCCATTAGAGAAGGCGAGGGAGCGGAGGCGGCGCCGCTCGTCGGCCTCCGCATCGCCGGCCGGCTTCTTCTTCACCATCCCTCCCTCCTCCTCCTTTGCCCCTCGCCTTGCCTGCGCTACTTTACGCCTCCCTTCTGGTAAAGCGGGTTTATCCACCTCTGTCACTCTTCTCCATTTAAAATGTTCATTGGTTTTATCCTACATTAAATGAATTATTTACTTCTTCGTAGAATAGTTGTTAATGCCAAAATTTGGTACACCCGAAGTCATCATCGGTTTAGAGTCAATATCGGCTTCAGAATCTTGGAATCGGCCGATGGGAGTCGTCAAATCGTCAGCAGTTGTGTTCTTGGTGGAGTCGGATCAATTAAAGAAAATTTATCCAGAAGAGTCCGAGTTCAAGGAGGATGCGGTATGGCAAGTTATTTATTAATTATGAATAGTTTGTTAGTTTCCTTTTTTATCTTTAGGAAAGTTTCTTTCTTGTCCTACAAGGACTAGTATTTACCCATGGGTATAAATATGTACACCCGGGGTTATTATAATCTATCAATCTCTCGATCAATACAACTATTCTCGGCGCATTGCCACCCTCTTTACCGAGGTTTTTACTTGTCATCCGGCGGAACTTGGCACCTGATGTGGGGCTGCATCGGCTTTCGATCTCTGGTGAAGGGGTAAGTCCTACGTTTCGCCGACCCTAGTGAATCTGTTGTCTACATTGGTGTTGTTCAAGGCTGCATCGCTTTGATCTCTTGGATCGCTCTGGTTTGGTTGATATATTTACCTACCTGATATCTCAATTCTATCTCTAATTGCATTGTGTTTACAGACGTATCGGTTTAATTGGGACTGTCTCGATTAGGTCTGATCTTCTGTCTTAGCCGAAATATCTCTACAATCACAATGTTGTTATAAATAGATTTGTTATATCCATCACATTAGACAGATCTATCGGCTCATCGAGTATTAGATTATCATATACAATCTCGTGTTGCATCGGTTAGGTTCGACCTACTAGATTATTGTTGATAATATAAGTCTTGTTAAGCCGATAGGTTCATGCTAGTGTCTTATCGGGGTGCTAGCCGATAAGTTATCTGGACGTTGCATCGGCTTATAAGAATTGCATATATCTATAAGTTGGATTTAGCCGATGACAACAAAAGGTTTCACTGATTTATCTAATCTTGTGGATTTTATGACATGGGACCTCCTGCCGATGAATGCTTTAACCGTCGGATCAGTATTTATCCTGTCATATTATTATTAGCCGATTGGTTTCTACTGGATTATATTGTTATATATTTTATCACATCATCATCAGCCGATTGCCTTTATATCATTATTTACATCGAGTGTCAGACTCTACATTGGACATATAGCCGATAACTCAAAACCCTATCGCTATCGGCTGGCATCAGCTATCGGCTGGAACTACTACATTGGCTTGTCAGCCGATCGGCTATTTGATCTACTGTTTATATATCTTGTCAGTAGCAGGATCAAACTGACTGGCACGCCCGCATCTCATCAACCTTTGGACCTGCACTAGAGCTAAGCAGATCTCCCAGGCCAGTGTATGTTTTTCACATCAACAATAGTCTTAGGTGGTGTTTGGATCCAGGGACTTAACTTTAGTCCATGTATTTAGACACTAATTTAGAGTATTAAATATAGACTACTTACAAAACTAATTACATAAATGAAAGCTAATTCACGAGACAAATTTTTTAAGCCTGACTAATCCATAATTAGATAATATTTATTGTAGCATCACATAGACTAATCATGGATTAATTAGGCTCAATAGATTCGTCTCGTGAATTAGTCTAAGATTATAGATGGGTTTTTTATTAATAGTCTACGTTTAATATTTATAATTAGTGTCCAAACATCTGATATGATAGGGGCTAAAAAGTTTTAGTCCTATATAAACATGGTCTACTATTACACTTTTGGAATGAGGGAGTACTATAGTACAGATGTGATATAGTATCTTATCTTAGAATTATGAGACAAACTACAAATCTAGACAAACAGATTATGAATCTGTAGTCTGTACAGTTATCTATTCGGTCCAAATTCATAGTTATAAAAATGTCACATCTGTACTATGTGCACTTGTATTTGGACGGAAGACGTAATACGGAGTAATATAGATTTGCTTTTACTAGTAATAAATACTATGTTCGCTAACAGTTTGAACGTTTTAAATGAAGTTTAAAAATTTCCACTTTAATAGTAATGATTCTACTGGCTTTCGATTCAGAAAATCATTAAGAATTCACTTACAATTGGCTCAGGACACTATGCAATCAGTATTCAGAAAACATAGAGACTGTAATTTAGATAGCCCGCTTTTCATGAAAATTAAGCTCTATGTACTTTTTTCATGAAATTAATTGGCTTTGGATAGCTGCTGCTGCTAGTAGTTATTATTCGTCATTCTTGTTATTTGTAAGAATTTTCTTTGGTTGCAGTGAAAATTGGTGGTACAAACTGAAGTCATTGGAAAAGAGACGTTAGGGTGGGAGGGAAGCATGTCAATAATTCTGACTCCCCTGATCCTGATAAGATGCAGATGATCATGATAGAAGTAAAAACCAACATCAGGAATCCTAATTAGCACGCACGCGCTAGCGAGAGAAGTTGCGCGCGTTTTCCGACCACGTCACGACAACTAGGGTTAGAGTTAGGGTTTCAGGGTGGGTCAGGGAAAGGTGGCGTTGGAGAGGGGGAAGTGGGGGATCAGGTTTAGAGGGCGGTGGAGAAAAGAGCTAACCTGTTACCGGAGGGAGGAGGAGAGGACTCGTCATAGAAAGGAGGAGCGGGCTCGCCGGAGCCAGCGCCGGAGGGGAGCCGCCCATCGTTGCCGCTCTGCTCCCTCAGCGACGGGAAGAGATAAGGGAGAGAGAGAGAGAAACCCAAGGAAAGACAAGAGAGAGCACTAGAGGTGACTTGAGATAAAAACATTACATATAGGTCATGTTTGGAGAACTAGCCAAGAGTTATTTTGAGAGCTATTTTTTAGCACAAGGAAATAGCTCTCCAATAAAATAGCTCTAAGTTATTTAGATACAAGGGTTATTTTGAGAGCTATTTGGCTTTTAATTTTAATGTACCTTCCCAAGGAGAGAGAGAAAATATACTTTTTCAGTGGGCCCCACTCGAAATAGCCCCAATTAGCATCCCTTAGGTGGGATAGTTTTTTGGGTGGGTTCTTTTCAAATAGCCCTCAAATAGCTCACCTTTTTGAATCTTTTTGACTATTTGAGCTATTTAAGGGAGGGCTAAAAAATATCCCTGATCGAAACAGGGCCATATAGAGTAGCTTTTTTATACTCCCTCCGTCCCAAAATAAGTGTAGTTTTAGCAATGTTCATGTCTAACGTTTGACCGTTCGTCTTATTTGAAAAAAAAATTATGATTAGTATTTTTATTGTTATTACATGATAAAACATGAGTAGTACTTTATGTGACTATTTTTTTAACTTTTTCATAAGTTTTTCAAATAAGATGAACAATTAAAACGCTAAACACGGATATTTATGGCTCCACTTATTTTGGGACGGAGGTAGTATTGCGTAGGCAGATGATTACTGTACGTAGTTAGCAAAAGAGTGGCATTGTAGTACGTGTTGCTCAAAAAGTGACAGTCGATTAGTAAGTTAAAACAAACAAAAATATACTCATTCCCCTCCACTCCTGTAGGAGTACACACAGGACCGATCAATTGGAGTAGCAGTAGTAGAAGAAGAGCCAATGAACTAGTACTAGTAGTAGATGTTGGGAAAGGCAGGCAGCCTCCCTCAATTAATCTGAAGACTGACGGCGGCAGCCGGAGATGGTGGTGGTGGTGCTGCTGCTGCTGCTCAACAAGGAAAAGGAGGAGGAGGAGACATGGTCGTTGGTGTCGTCGTCTTCTTCCTCGGCGATGGGGTGGAGGCAGAGGTCGGCCGCGCGGCGGAGTAGCTGTCGCTGCCTACGGACGACGTCAAGCGTCTCCGGCGGCGGCACCTCTTGGGCGAACAAGGCGGTGCCTCTCGCGGTGGCGGCCATGTAATCGATCGATCGATCAGGACTGACTGTAGCTTAATTAATTTGTCAATCTAATTAATCTTGAATGAATTGAATGTGGTTGGGGGTGAGTAGAAGACGACGAGGACGGACAGCAACAACGAGGCAACGGGGCCAGGAAGGATCCAGGAAAGCACTACTAGTACTGTAGTAGTGTACGTGTGGGCAGGGCTCTGCCGCGTAGGAGTAATACTCCTAGGTAGGAGTAGTTGCCTCGTCCTTGTCATTTTGTTTTGTGTCCACGCAACGCACGCACGCAAATCGCAATCGCAATCGCAGGTGCAGCTGCAGCTGCCGCGCAACACAAACAAAACGTGTTCCTTTTCTTTTGCAAAACCAACAAACGTGTATTGCGTGCGTACGCCCCTGCCTGCTACCACACCACAACTTTATTTTCTCCTTCCTGTACCAGTAGGACTACATCCATCTTCCACTTTAATTCCACTCACTATATCACAAATTATTTTCAAATCATACTATGTATGTCCATTTTTATTTACCACTTTTTAACACTTTATATATACTATTAAGAATATCTCCAACGACTTCTTCATCCAACTTGAAAGGGTCTATTCTTAAAAGTAAAAAAAATTCAAAAAAATTAAAAAAATATATCCTCCTTAATAGGCCAAATTTGGCCACCCCATTTTGGTTAGCCAAGGATGGACCGAGCCTCACAGCCAATACACTCCCCCCCATCTAATACACTCCCCCCATCTCCCCCATCGGTCTCTCTCCCAACCCCATCTCAGCACCGGTGCACTGCTACTGGAGGGCGACGAGACATGGCGAGGTGGAACACGGCCAACAACAATAACAACGACGCAGAGGAAGCCTGCAGCAAGCCCCGGGTTGGCGCGAGGGCGAAGGTTGAAAAACATCGTTCGTAGGGCCTCAAACTCCCTCCTCCCTCCCTCTACTTCGAGCACCGCCGACGTCCATACAGGCGTGCGGCCTCCAGATCCCATCATCATCCACCACAGGATAGTGGACGCATATGAGGCTACGACGACGAGGACGGAGTGCTTGCGCCAGGATTCCTTCCATCCGCCACAAGGGGGGAGAGAGAGGGGGGTGAAGAAGAAGGTTGGGGAGGTTAGAGAGGCTGTTCGAGTGAAAGAAAAACTTGACTATCTAAATTTTTCTCAAATTGACTAAATGGATATTTGGAGAGAATATTGGAGATGTTCTAGGGTAGTGATTCCCAGTTTACCCTTAGAGCAACTCCGATCCACGAGAGTTGCCATATGCATCTCCAAGCCAAAACTTGGTTATATTGGGCAAAAGTGCTACTCCAAGAGATTGGTCAACTGGATGGCTCTACTAGCCAAATTTGGCCACCCATAGCCGCTGCCCCAAGTGTGGGTCCCACACCCTTTGGCTCTCTCTCCCATCGCCCTCTGCTCGCTTTGCTTGCTTGGTCTCCCAACCTACCACATCAATCCATTGAAAACAGTGGCAACAACAATGGTGGCAGTGCCAGCAGCCTCCCATCACCGAGATCCTCCTCTATGCGATGCGGTGGTGATGGCCTCCCCATCCACCCAGCACGGAGGCACCGAAGAGGCAGCGGCGGCGGCACCTCCCGGCAACGACAGATCGGTCGACGTCCCGCTGGACTGTCTCTGCCCCATAGCCGTCGCAATTGTGCGGGAGCTCAAGATCGTGTGTTGGAGGTCATCTCCCATCATCCCCCCTCCCCTCGCACCTCACCTTCCTATACGGTCGGGTGTGGTGGCAGCAGGACAATCGGCTAACAGTGACAAGGGTAGGGAGAGGATGACGATGGAGGGGTAGTGGGCAGCCAATGGTGGGGAGATGAAAGATATGGAGGGATGAAGAAGTATATAGAGATTGACATGTGAACCACTGGTTGTTTAGCACGTGTAAATTCCTCCCTTTTTGGCCTAGCGGATGGCTGATTGTAAGAGTACTTATACTGCCAACATTCAAACCCCCTAAATCTTTTTAATCTCTAATAGGACTTAAATGATAAAACTATATACTCAGCTCCGAAAGATATCTAAAACTTTTAGAAAAACGGTTGTGCTAAAAGACTGGCGACAATTTTTTGTTTAGAAAACTTTCGATTTTCTAACCATTAGATGCACTTCAGGATTCGCGCAACATATACGGCCATACGGGCAGAATAAAAAAAATCTCGTGTGGGCTAGACAAGCATCGAACCAGCTAGGATCTATTCATCAAACTCAGCACACGTTACCGCTGCTAGGGGTACTTTTTTATTATTAATAGTACTTTTTAGTTACATACTCACTTACATCCTATGTGCATACTCCCTCCGTCTCATAATATAAGTTATTTTGACTTTTTCTTACACTGTTTGACCATTCGTCTTATTAAAAAAATTTGGAATTATTATTTATTTTATTTGTGATTTACTTTATTATCCAAAGTACTCCATTTTAAGCACAACTTTTCGTTTTTTATATTTGCACAAATTTTTTTAATAAGAGTGGTTAAATAGTGCAAGCAAAAAAGTCAAAAATCCCTTATATTATAGGACGGAGGGAGTAGCACTTACACTCTAATTACAGAGTAGTTACATAACACTTACACCCTACTTACAGAGTAGTTACATAGCACATACACATGTACACTAGTTACATGATAGTTACAGGGTAATTACATGGTATAAAATTAGGATTTGTAATTTTTTTCGGGGGCATATGCATATTACTTTTGAATTGAAAGTTATTTTTTTCATTCTACATGTTTGGCAATTTCTTGACGTTCAATCAGTTTGGGCACTAAGACTCGTGGTTTGTACTAGTGCGGACTGTTTTCCTGTTATCGTTGATAACAATTCACTAAGAACTCATGGTTTGTACTAGTGCAGGCTGTTTTCCTGTAATCGATGATGACAATTCCTGTGGTTGAAAAATTTGAAAGTTCTGGACTAAAAAACTGTCAACAGCACACTAGCTAGTCCCTTAGAAAAATAGGCCACGTTATAAACTTCAAAATGAAATGGCCACATTAAAAAAGAAAACTTCCAAACAAAATTGGTCTTCTTTTCCCATACCCTGTCGGTCTTGTTTCCCAGTACGTAGCTTGCGCGAACTCGCTCAGTGATGAAGATTAGGAGCGAGATTTTAAGAGATGGGGATGGGATTATTTTTCCTTAAAAACTGGAAAACTTGAATTAGGAGTAGTATATATAGGCAATCTTTTTTGCTACAATTTCCTTTCTTTTATTTGTTTAGTTACGCGCAAATTAAGGTTGTCGTGTTTGAAAATTAAAAAAAAATCAATTGGTAGATAAAAATTCTTCTACCATGAATCTTTGTTGCAAAATAGAATAACTTTAAGCTATAAATACATTCATTCATATTGATAGCATATGTAGCAGGTACGTTGATAGCCGAAAATAAATAAATGTGAAGTTTAGAGGGCAGGCATATTAGATATATGCCCTAACAAAATATATAAATCCTAAAAATAAATAAGAAGACGCACAGCTGCTAATATAAAGAAAATTAAGGTGGAGTGGGGGCGAGGATGGGGTTGGCGGGCATGTCGTCGCCGGCGAGGAAGTGGGCGAAGAGCTGTCTGGCCTGCACAGGCGTGATCATGGGAACCATGTGGCCGGCGCCGCGGATGGTGACGAAGGTGAGGCCGTCGTAGAGCACGGTGTAGCCGCCCACCTGATCGCTCGTGAACCACTGCTTCCACGGCCTCACCGTCTTGAGCTTGAGCTTCCGCAGCGCGTACCTCGTCGACGTCACCGGCACGCGGTCGTCCGTGTCACCGCTGAAGACCCAGACGCGGAGGCCGGCGCGGACGAGGGCGGCGATGTCCGGCAGCGTGGAGGGCGGCGCGTCCGTCCAGTTGGTGAGCGCGTCGCTGCAGGGCGCCCAGCTGTAGGGGATGCCGCCCGACACGTTGGCGTGGAGCGCCGCCTGGACGTCGCCGCGGTTCAGGTAGTCGATCACGCGGTAGTCCACGCACGGGTTGTACGTGTTGTAAGGCAAGCCGCGGCGGAGGCGGAGCACCTTATCGGCGAAGCGGCTGCGGGTGCCATTAGTAATGGTGGTTGTGCCGTTGAGCGCGGCGGTGCAGGACGGAGTGTAGAGGCTGTAGATGTCGATGTCGCCCATGGCGGTGAAGAAGCCGTTCCATGCGGTGTTGCACTTGTCCGTCTCGTTGCCGTCGTCGGGGAAGGTGCAGTTGCCCTTGATGGCGGCGTAGATTTCGTCGGAGATGACGGCGTGGTCCCAAGCGTACTCCACGAGACCGCGGTCGTCGGAGCTGGAGTCGATGGCGGCGTTGCCGATCATGATGCCCTTGAGGTTGATGATGCGATCATCATCATCATGTTCCTTCTTCTTCTTGTTAAAATGGAGGATCTTGGTGGCGAGCTGGGGGACGTAGTGGCCGGCGTAGCTCTCGCCGGCGATGTATAGGTCGTGCCCCTTGAATTGCGGGAACCTCTCCAGCCAATTCACCAAGAAGGCGTGCGCGTCATGGGCTACGTACATATAGCTAGTATTAACTTAAATCAATCATTATTCTACTCCCTCCGTTTCAAAATGTTTGACACCGTTGACTTTTTAGCATATGTTTAACCGTTCGTCTTATTCAAAAGAAAAAGTAAAATATTTAAAACTATATGTGTACATGAAAGTATACTTAACAATGAAGCAAATGATATGAAAAGAATAAATAATTACTTAAATTTTTTGAATAAAACGAATAGTCAAACACGTACTAAAAAGTTAACAGTGTCAAACATTTTGAAATGGAGGGATTACTATATTTCTAGCACTACGCAGGCCACAAGCAGATACCGGTGAGATTGTCGCCGAAATGGGCGAGATCGGTGGTGGTGTTGGTGTAGGAGAAGCCGACGCCGGCGGGGGACTCCACGAACAGCAGGTTAGCCTCTGCGCATATATATATATATATATATATATATATATATATATATATATATATATATATATATATATATATATATATATATATATATATATGCAATCATTTTAATTATTTTCATTACTAGGAAGGAGTCTAGGATCGATCGATCTAAATAAATAGGAGTATATATGAAGAAATGAAAAAGCAACTACCTTTGTTCCATGATTCCGGGTTGATGATGAGGGTGTCGTTGTTGTTGACGAGAAGGGGGCCGAGCTCCTCGAGGGCGCCATAGCCGAGGGAGGAGCAACCAGGGCCTCCGTTGAGCCAGAGGACGAGGGGCTTGGTGGCCACGTCGGAGGCGGCCTCGAAGAACCAGTAGAAGAGGGCGCGGCCGTGCGTCTCGTTCACCGTCACGTACCCGGCGAACTGCCGGAACCCAAGCTCCGCCGGCTGCCCCGGCAGACGCTGCACCCGGTCCGCCTCCTGCCGATCGAACACCTCCTCGTACGACTTCTTATGATGATGATGATGATGATGATGCCTCGCCGCCGCACCCCCCGTCCACTGCATCATCACCATCACCACCACCATGCCCACCACCACCAGCTGCTGCCGCCCTGCCATGCCTACTGATCACTGATCGATCGATCGATCGATCTTAATTTGGTTTGCTTTCTATCTTGCTAGTGCTAGCTATATAGATCGATCCATATGCAAGCTGAGTACTGCAATATATATAAGCTGATGAAGCTGAGGTGAGCTGGTAACTCGATCTATCGCGCGCGGGACATCGGGGTTCTGTTGAACATTTTTAGGAACAGATTAACAAATAACCAATTAAGCTGTACGTTATCCATCTATCTATCTATCTAAAACTAACCAGCTGCAACTCCTCGCCGATATATGCGTACGTGCTCGCCCTACGTCTCAAACGTACGTACGATTCATCACTAGTTTCATCGCTCGCCCAATCTTGGCTGGCTGCTCCGGCCTCGTCCTGCAACTGATGATATATCAAATCAGGATTTGATTTCATCATATTTATGAGGAGAATGCAATTAACATCAGCTCACGTGATTAATTGTCTCTCCTAATTTGCTGCCTCATCAATCCATTTACCTAGCTGCCTACAAGCGGTCGAGATCCACGATTATTTAATTTACTTCTCATTCATTGGATAGGGATATAGACTATCATTTCATTTACTCCTCTCGTAATTTGTTGCCCGATCAATCGATTAACCTAGCTGTTCCTGTCTCTATACAAGCGAAATCGACGGACGATTTGTTATTTACTCGATTGGATATGGATTCCATCGTTTCATTTTTTTAGGAGTAGTTTGTTGCTCCAATGCATTTAAACATACAGATACAGATGCACACTTTAAAACCTAAACAAAAAAGAGAAGAACTGACTGTCTCCCTCCAGCTAACAGTACGCTCAACTGCCGTCAAACACGCCCAAAATTAGTCCCTGGTTACCTGTGTTGGCCATGCCTTTTTTTTTAAACACACATTTTTTTTAGAGAAGGGTATTTTTTACCCGGCCTCTACATCCAACCGAATATATACGGCAATTGAAATAGGGAACTTAGCCCCACAAATAACCCAATCTAAAATTCGCTCCATAGGAGATTTGAACTCAGGACCTTGGGGTACTACTCAGGTCACTGTAACCACTAGGCTACATGCACACTCACCTGAAAGAATAATTAGCCATAAATATGAGTACCCGTGTTAAGGACTAAGAATAATTAACCGTAAATATGAATACCCGTGTCAAGGATTTGGGTGGGTTGGTTCCACCACAAGGAAGTTAACTAGTTGAGCTACGTTTACTTCGCGGCAATGCAATATAGTATTATTCTGTATTGCATACTTGAAGTCTGAATTAACAAAGTTGTAATACACTTTTGAGTTGAACAACAAAGTTGTACACCTGACATGTGAGCTAAGCTTTTAATTATGGAGTATATATGGAACAAAGTAACAACATTAACGCTGACAGAAAGGGATATCAAATTAGAGTAGCACTTGCTGTGACATCACACAACTGCATGCCTCAATTAGAATGCATGGGATATACTCCGTATATAGGTCCTCTGTCTGTAAACTCTCTGCTCTCTTTCTCAAAACTCTATACTAAATTATATACCAGCACATCATCTACATAACAGAGTAAAGAATACATGTATGTATATTGATACAATTATATATGAGTTTCTATGCCAGAACCACCGCTTGCTTCCATGGCACTGAAAAGTATTGAGCTCTACATTTTGCCACAGGTAAGATGAAGAATGCAGCGCTGGCGTCAAGGGTGCAACTGCCGTCAAAATAAAAACTCTGAAAACAAGCCAAGCCACAACTTCCATTTTCCACCGGCTTCTTCTTGGCAAATTCAAGTTGGATCATCGCAGACAAACCTACTACAGCCACAGGCAGCTCAATCCAAAGCAGCTTTGGTCCTCCTAGGTGCTGTGGGTTTCGGAAGGCCATCAAGCAATGGTCGCGTGAACGACTCATGGTTGAAAGTCCATGCCGAGCTTGACCACATAGAGATCCCATTCTCTGCATCTGCAAAGTTTGGTGTGCTAGGCGACTTCCGCACTGATCTAAATCCGCTCAGAAATGAACCATTGCTCTTCAGGCTGGACTCTGGGTTGCTTGTGTCCATGTTTTGTCGGATACTAGAAATTGGCCTTGGCAACAAACTCTTGGTCATCTTAATTGGGTCTGTAAAAACATCGTCCTGGGTATCTGTGGTGTTAGACACTTGATCAGCTTCAACTTTTTGCCGCCGACGAATGGAACCATCTTGCTTTGCTTTGGCTGTCCCATTGATCTTGGCCCCACTGGCACCGTTTGTTGCTGAAAAGCCATTCGACGTGTCTTCAGAGTTCCTACTTCTGTCGGTATTATGTGTGTCTGGTAATCTAGATGAAGTGACCAATGTTTCACTGTTGATACGCTCCAAACTGCCCTTACTGTACAAGGACATCTCAGTGCCAGCATCTGTCATAGCCCCATTTTGAGGAGTTAGACCATAATAGGACTGCAAGGTGCTCATGGCGAGTGACATTTGCTGCTTAGAAGAATTGTAGTTGGATGAGTCTAGCGAATCCGTAACATCTCTGTTTTGCTGATTGTTTGGAGCCCACGCTCTGCACATAGACAGAAAGCTAAGAATGAGCCTATCAACAGTTACTTACAACAGTGGGGAAAAAAAGAAGTGTTGACAGACGACAAATTATTAAGGTAAACATTTATACGGTAAGGGTTTCATCTTTAGAATATCAGCATTGAGATTGAGGTGAAGTCCCGTTTTGATTTCTTGCATCACAGGATGGATTAAAGAGAGGAAAAATAAAGGAAATGCGTACCTCTTCATTTTCTGACCAGAACCATTGAGCCTTACAGAGGATGGCATGGGTCTTCCTGGTAGAGGTATGAGCAACATTTTGTGTGCGAACATCTGGCTGTCAGTCATCAAACTGTTTGCCCTCTTGATGTCAGATATCTGAAAAATGAGAGGACATTGTTTAACTCACTGATAAAATTGACAAATTTGGTGAACATGTACAACTCAAATCAAGCAAGAAAAGCTAAGTTTGGCTAATATGAGGCACTGAAATATGCAAATAAATGATATGGTTTAGTAAGTACATCAACCCTTGTGTTGCTTTCGTAATCCGAGGCTGATGTTACTTTTATGCATGATGACTTATGAGTGAATAAGATTTGCAGAGTTGTTGTGAACCACAGTTAGTGATGCTAAATGGTAGTGGTACGTGACCCTGTGATTTATAAATTGGCCAAGTCCTAAAATACTTCTATTTCTTGTGAGTCTGTGGAAAGCACAACATTTTTGTAAGACATTACTTCATTAAATCATCTATGTGTAAATAGTTTAGGACGGTGATATGATATAAGAAAGAGCATCAGACAGCCGGTAAAACCGAATAGAAAAGATAAAAAAATAATTGAAGCTTTGATTTTGTCACAGGCAAGTTTTCTTTCCTATCTACTCCATCAAAGAAGTAGTGGCAAGATGGCAAGTTTTTTAGCCGGCGGCAGTAGGTAAATAATTGCTAGGTAGGGAGAAATAAAAAGGAAAGAGGAGGGAGGATCGGAGAAAAAAAGAAAAAGGAAATCTTGCCTCGACGCCGTACTTGATGGCGAGGCCGGGGAGCGTGTCCATCCTGGAAACCTGATGCTCAAGGTAGTGGTCGTCGTGGGCGGGGGGGCAGCATGAGGACGGCGGCGGCGGCGGCGAGAGCACGGGAGAAGCGTCGAAGTCGTCGGACAGCGGGTGGGAGATCCCCATGGGGTATGGGGTTGAGATCTCGGCGGTGAATTGGGCGCGGTGGGTGCGGCGTCGCGTTCGATTTAGCAGCTGCCTGAAGGCTGGAGGTAGGAGAAGGAGGCGGCCGGCTTGCTTGGCTTTAGCTTGGAATGAGAGAGAGAGATGGCTTGCTTTGGCTTGGCTGGCCCTCCCCTCCCTCCCCAAGATCACAACACAATTGCAAGCAAAGCCAGCCAGCCTCTCCCTCCCTTTACCTTTGACACCACGACCACTTGAAAACCAAAAAAAAAAAAAGAATCGTGTTTTGCGTTTTTCTTTTTTTTAAAAAAAAAACATAAGAGTAGTACGCGGTTGATGGGGTTGGAGCCACGTGGTTGCTGTGCTCCCATACAGTAAGTACTTCATACATACAGCGTCCGTCTGCTTGTCTTCCCTTTCTTTCTTTCTTCAAACACCATCGCTCGGCTGGAATGGATGTACAGCAGGCAGGCAGGCAGACAGGTGGCCAGCCATCCTGAACGAGTCAACTCACCTACTTTAGCACCAACCTGAACTATCCTTTTACAATGGCAAACACATTAACATGTGTGACATTTTATATCTCCCATACTTAATCTTAACCGATTATTATGATGTACAGTTATAACTCCCTATTATTTCAGTATAACTTATCTAATTAGAATGTAATTATTACTGATTATTCTTGTTTATTTGTTTAAAAAATATTCTTTTACCTGTTTTTATCTACAATTTCCTGCAGCAATACACGTGGTTAGTACTCCTACATATTAATCCTTCTATATATTTTGGTAGATAAAAACTACTCTGTAGCTCCAGTTCCATTAAATTCCCTCAAAGCTATCTTAAAACCAACCCCTATTTTGATATCTAATATTGAATTTACCGTGTTTTTATATTTTCATTTTTGTCCCTTTTTTTAAAAAAATGAAGCAAATGTTTACCCCTTTTATTTAACAGAAGATAGTGGATCCAGAATTGTTGTGCTAAATAAGTGTATAGACTTTTAAAATTTGTTGATTGACCTTTGTACACCTGGTGATTTTACCATAGCCAAATCTATGCCTAACCACACACACTACTCGTCCTTTATTTGACCAAGTTTAATTACTCCTACATACAGAGAACAACACTACGACGTGTGATGTGAGTGAGTCCTGCATGCTCTTTCTTTCGTTGACACTTTCTCCTGACTAATACCGGTCAATCAAACTTGGCTTACTACTATACCTTGGAGTACGTATCATATGGATGGCTACCTACCAAGCATCACCAGATCAATCCCCTCTATCTCCCCCCCCCCCCCCCCCCAAAAAAAAATTAAAAGGAAAAGATGAAGACCTAGCAAAAGCTTCGGCATTAATATTAATCCTTAATCATGACTTGTGAGCATCTGCAGCTCCTTCCTTCTTGCAGCTCTAGCAAGCAGGCCTGAAATGATGTACTACTCATATGTACTCGTATAGCAAGAGTAAGCATGTAGGCATAAAACAAATGCTGCTCCTTGGAGTGCCTATTTTCTTCAAAAAGTATTGACAAGCACTAGTACTTACCTTGCTGTTTGACAAAGAATCTTCACGCTTTTGAAGCTATATAAGAGCTGGTGCTTTACATCACATGGCACACACATGACACCACTGCTTTTGCACTGTCTTTTCTGCATTTTCCTTCTCTCCTTCCTTTTTCATGGAGAGCAAATTATGTCGAGTGCATCCCTCCAAAATGTTTGGTGGGTATCATTGCATATAACCATAAGATTTGGAACAGTATTTCTGTTGGCTATACATATTTTGGGTTGCCCTGCAACTTTCTCTGCTACAGCCGAAAACGACATGTTTCTTTTTCCTTAGTTAGGTGCAGACGCGGTTACTACCGCACCATCATATATATGATGATGATCTCCTTAGTTGTGCTACAGATCATTGGCAACGTTGGATCCCTGACTAATGATCGATCAGCAAGAAAATAAAACGCAGTGCACCAGTTGTTATATTCAGAGCTTGTGACCGTCCAAAGAGCTGACCAGAAAGCTAGTCCAGAGCACGTGCAATCATTCAACCTTGTATATATTCTGGTCCTTCAATTGCAGTTGTGCTAACTACTTAATCCTTAATCTGACTTCCAGTTGAATCCATTGACCTTGCCTTACAACATGTTTCAGGGCAACATATGCCATGTCAGTTTGGGTAATTAGAGGAACTTCTTCTGGCACAATATGTTGTACTAACTCCATATTTTAATGTATGACGCCGTTGACTTTTTTTCCCAATGTTTGACCATTCGTCTTATTCGAAAAATTTATGTAATTATTATTTATTTTATTATGACTTGATTCATCATCAAATGTTCTTTAAGCATGACATAAATATTTTCATATTTACATAAAATTTTTGAATAAAACGAATGGTCAAACGTTGTCGAAAAGTCAACGGCGTCATACATTAAAATACGGAGGCAGTAGTATACTCAGATCAGATGCCAACGGTTGCCTTACACAAGGGGATAGAATTATATGTACTCTGCTGCCACTTGTGCGTTGGTTGCTTGAGAGTACCATATGCATGATGCATCAGAGTATCAGACATGGCTGGTAGCCCAACAAGTCATCTTTCAATCTCCCGGCCGTTTTCTTTTTCTTCCTTTTGCTATGTTTTGTTTTTATCTCTTATCCATTGCAAATTGCAGATAGTGTTTGATTGGGGGAAAGCAGGAAGATAATGCGACCGCAGACAGCAACACATTTTGGTTTTGCACATCTTCTTCAGTAATGGGTACAATGCTTTGACAAATACAGCACTAAGCACTACGGGAGATTTCAGATACAAAAATATTAGTATTAACCACATTGCCGTGCTGCAGCACAAGTACAAGAAGGTTGACAAACAGCGTCCACAACCGAGCAAGAGTGATACAGGTAACACGGCAAGTGAAGTGAAGTGAAGTCTCCCATCTGTTTAGTACTCTGAATCTCACAAAATTTGTGATGCTTCCAACTTCAGTTTCAGACCATGCAAACTCCATGCTCACATTCACAAGCAAAACACCCTCTAAGCTGTAATGTCATATATCTTCTTTTCATAGAGTTAATACAGACAGAAATATGCTGAAGAAACACTAGTGAATTTTCATTGAATTCCAAAGTTGAAAACACTTTTGGTATAACATTTGCAAAACAAGTATCTGTATTTTTCTGACAAAAAAAGGCTGAAATTTCCTATTGTAACATCTCCAAACACAGCAGCAGGATAGTTTCCTGGCGGGAAAAGAGGGGGAAGAAAAAAAAGAGATAACAAGAGAGAGCAGTAGAGGTCACTTCCTCTGTGTCCTTGTGATCCAATCCAAAACGTGGCAACAATCATCATCCCCACGGAACACCCTGTTCTCAGAACGGTAGGTCTTGAGATCACGGCTCTCGTGCCTGCAACTCTCCCTCTTCATTTCCAGTGAATCAGGAACCAGCCTTGCAGCACGGTCATGGTAAGCATCACAGATAAACTGCGCAATGGCGTCGAAAGGCTGCGAGGCATCAACCCACTGGTAAATCTTCTCGTTGCGGAACCATGTCATCTGCCTCTTTGAGAAGTTCCTGGAGGCAGTCTGAAACTTGGTCAGGAACTCCAAGAACTCTTGTGGGGAGCTGCTGCCTCCGTTGTGCCTACACTGAAGCAAGTACTCCATGGCTTGCCTGTAGCCGATTGCGCAGGTAGCCGAGTTCATGCCAGGACTCAAGCCGATGTCGAGGAGCCAGGAGGCTTCAGAGAGTAGGCCACCTGTGTCGGCCAGCATCTCTTCGCACCTCAGATCGATTGATCTGTAGAGCTCAACGCGTGGGCACGCGAGGAAGATGCAGAGGAAGTCGTAGTCCAGCTCCAGCTCCGTGGGTTGATCGGCTTGGTTGGTGAGACTGAGACGACGGTGGTGATTGAGATTGTAAGCATTGTAGGGCAAGGAGAAGGCAGAGGGAGGTGAGCCTGAAGACCTGATGATCTCAAGGCTTCTCCTTAACCTTGACCAGTTGTTGACTGACAGGTCCCGAGCTTTGGGGTCGCCGGCGTTGGCAACCAGGTCGACGGCTTCTTCCCAGCGGCCGGTGTCCCGGAAGCGGGAGAGCTCGGACCAGACGGCGGAGGTGACGTCCATGGAAGACTGCGGGACACTGGGCTTGCCATAGATGTACCAGCGGAGGTAGAGGCCAGTCCCTCCGGCGACAATGGGGACGCGGGCTCGGGCGAGGAGGTGGTCGGTTGCTGCGCGGGCGTCGTGGAAGAAGTCCCCGGCGGAGTAGTCGTCGGAGGCGTGGAGGATGTCGATGAGGTGGTGCGGCACGGCGGCCCTGTCGGAAGAGGAGGGCTTGGCGGAGCCGACGTCGAGGCCCCGGTAGACCTGGACGGAGTCGGCGCTGATGATCTCCCCGGAGAGCCTCTTGGCGAGGTCCAAGGCGAGCCTGGTCTTGCCGGCGCCGGTGGGGCCTGAGATGACGATGACCTTGTTCTTGGTGGCGGCGGCGGCAGCCGGGGACCAACTTCTCTTCCACACGGCGGGGCGCCTGCATCCATACTGCATACCGCACTGGGAGATCTGATGGCGCGCGGAGGAGGAGGAGGAGGAGCTTTCTGGTTCTGGGCGGCCGGCCGGCGGGCGGCGGCTTCGTGTGGAAGGGAAGGGAAGAGGATAGAGGAGGAGATGGATGGGATTTCTGAAAGAGAGCCTGTGCAGATGTAGAGGCCCAAAACAAACAAACAAGTATTGGGCTTTCAGGCCCAAATTGGACATTCTATTTTGGAATAAGTTCACCGAAGGTCCCTCAACTTAACAGCGAGCTTTTTTAAGATCATTTAACCACAAAACCAGAAATCTCTGCTCCTAAACTATACAAAACTGTGTAAAAAAGGTCCCTTGATCTCTGGTTTTGCTGACGTGTCAGCAAAAAATAAAAAAAAATTATGGGACCCACATATAAGTGAGAAGAAAAAATGTGGGACCCACACTTCTTTTTGCTTTTCTTTTCTCTTTTCTTTCTCCTATTCGAGTATCTTCTCTACTCTTTCTCCGAGGCTGCCGGCGGCATAGGGAGCCTAAGAGAGAGGGGGCAGCGGCCGCTGGCGAGCGCGGCAGTGGGCGGCTGGAAAGGGGGGGAGAGGCGGCCGGTGAGCCTGGGAGGGAGGAGAGGGGGCGGTTGGAGTCGATGCCATGGTGGAGCGGCTCGTGGGGCTCCTCCCATCGGAGCTACGGGGAGAGGCGGAGGATGGAGGGGTTGGGGGCGCACTCCGGGAGGAACGATGCCGTCCCAGTGGGATCCCACCACGCCCGCGCGCCCGGCCATGTTCGACTGCCCGCCCAGGATGAACACCACCTTGTTCGACGGAGGGAGCTCACCGCCGGACACAGCCGCCGTCGGAAGCAGCAGCATCATCATCCGCCGCATTGTTGCTTGCTACCGTTGGGCGTTGGGACTAATAATCAAGCAAATTTGAAATCTACTCTTCCTCCCTACTCGTAGTCAATTTATACTGCAACTAGCGGCATGTCTGTTTGAGTTTGTTTGACCCAACCAAACCAACCAACCAACGAAAGAAATACTCCACTAAAACGAAACAACATCCACCCATGTCGATCGTGCGCTGCTACCCCCTTCGTCTCCGCCTACCGTAGGTTCCTCCTCACCGGCGTCCACATCGCCCTCGACGCCGCCCCTCTGCTCCTCCCGCACCCGGAGCCGCCGCTTGAAACCGCCTGCCGCCGCCGATGCTCCTCCCGAGCCCGGAGCCTCCGCTTCGCAGCCGCACTCGCCCGCCGCGCCCCCTGCGTCCCAAGCTCCTCTCCACCTCCCGAGCCCAGAGTCGCTGCTCGCCCGCCGCCGCGCTCGCCCGCCGTTTGCCACCGCCGCCGCTCCACAGCCTCGCTCACCGTCGAAGCAGCACGAGAGGCACCTAGCGCGGCGACCTCGCCTCCCTCCGAGCGGCAGCGGCGACCTTGTCTTCCTCCGCGCTCGCCCGTCGCCGCCTGCCTGCTCCGTCCGCCGCTGCCCGGCCCGCCATCCTCTCAGGCTCGGGGGAAGAATAGAGAGCAAAGAGAAGAGAAGAAAAAAAAGAAAAAGAAAATAGGAGAAGAGAGGACGCTGACGTGTGGTCCCACCACATGCCACGTCAGCCAAACCGGGGAAAAATTAGATCAATACTGACTAGGGACTTTTTTTTTCACGGTTTTATATTGTTTAGGGGTGAAGATTTCTGATTTTATGGATAAGGGACTTTAAAAAATATCGCTATTAAGTTGAGGGACCTCCGATGAACTTATTCCTTCTATTTTGCTTCTTTTCCACCTGCAATTTCTTCCCTTATTTTCTCAACGCTTTTATTTATGTTGAATTCCATAATTTTCAATATTAATAAGAGCAAGACAAAAACATGTGTAACGCTCCGCTTTTCGTGAGTCGTTAAAAACTAACTCGGTAAAATCCTAATTGCGAAAATTTTCGTTCTTTGTGTGAGAGTCTAAGTTGTGCCAAGGATCTCAATTTAATCCCGTTGTTCCCTCTCATCGAAATCAAAATCCTCCCCCTCATCCAAATTCCTCTTCCGATTCGAGTCTCTGAAATCAAAATTCTGAAATTCAAATCCTTCCTTTGAATCCTCGCCAAATACTTCTACGAATCCAGAATTATTCAAATCCCGCCTCGAATCCTTTCCTTGACTCCACCCTATGTTCCCGAGAACAAATACCCAAGTATTCCTTTTGAATCTTTTCCATGACTCCTCCTTGAGTTTTCCTTGATACATCCCTAAACCCTCGAGTTCGAATATCAAATTGAATTCGAATCCAAACCCTAAATCTCTCCAATTCTATCCAAATCAGTTTTCTCTGTAAAAGTCTACTTTACCTCCCTGTATTTTTGGATGGACCGATTTTCCTCCCCCGGCCCATCTCCCCTCCCCAGCCCATCTCTCTCCTTTGCCATCTCCCTCACGTGCGCTGCACGAGCCGTCGCCGAGAGAAGGATCTCTCTCTCTCTCGTTTTCTCGCTCCCTCTCTGTTTCTCTCTCGCGCCGACACCGCTTCCCGCCGTCGCCGCCCAAAACCTCCACCGCCTTCGCCCATTCCCGCGTGCGCCTCGCGAGGTGGCCGACCGGCCGGTCGCCGCCGACGCCATGCGCTGCCGCCTTGCCCCCGCTCCATGCCAAACCGACCGCCGCCGTCATCGTCGACGTCATCCATGGCCCCCCGCCACTCCACGCCGCACCCGTCCAAGAGTGGGAGAAGCAGCTGCCCTCCCTCTCCTCCTCCTCCTCACTCTCCCTCTCCTCATTATGGCAAGGGACCAAGCCCCTTTTTCCCCTTCTTTTTCCCTTTCCCGACCACTGCCGGTGTCACTGCCTCTGCGCCGCTTGACCGACCACGCCAACTCGCTCTCCTTGACCGCGCCAGCCCGCACTCCCGCGGTTCGATTTCCGCCGCTCGATCCACCGCCTTCGCTGCCCAACGCATCCACGCCGTCGCCGCTTTCGCACTGCCCACGAAACCGCCGCTGCCGCCCGTGAACACCAGCCGAGCTCCCTTGACCGCCAATGTCGGTTTCCCTCCTCCAAACCGACCTCTCCTCCTCGCCTATAAAGCCCGCGCCCTCCCCTCTCGTTTCGTCTCCGCCTCGCTCGAAACACCCACGCCTTTGTTGCCGGCCGCCAGCTGCTCGCCCCCGCCCCGCTGTCGCGACCACCTCGCCACGACTCCCTCCGCGTCGCCAACGTTGCTCCTCTCTCGCCGGTGAGCTCCTCGCCCAAATTCTTGCCATTTGCATCATCTTGGATAAGCCCCGAGCCGTTCGGTTGCTCGCTCGTCCCCCTAAACGTGTCGCCCCGCCGTTGCTCTGCTTCGCCGCCGCCGCGCCCGACTGTGCACCGCCATGGGCCCCCTCGCCAATCCCTCGCGCCACCACCGTCCTTGAGCTCCCTAGGACCTCCCCAAACCATTCCCTAGCGCCGTCGCCGCCCGGCACGGCCTCGCCGCCATTGCCGCCCGCTCCCGAAGACCGTCTCTCGTCGCCAGCGAATCTCGGTGCCGCTCCGTCCAATCCGACGCCGGAAACGGATTCCTTGAACCCCGGAGATGCTCCCACCCCTTTGAATCGAACCCTCGTCGTCTCGTCGTGTTTTCCCCTTTTGCTCTCCGGTGATTGCCGCCGCCGCAATCCACCGTCGTTGGCTCCTCTCGCGTCGATTCCTCTCGCCGCCACGCTCCCGGGGATCCCCATGACCTCCCCCTGGCTGCCCAAAGGCCGTCGGCCTTCTCCTTTGTCTCCGCGCCGTGTCGCCGCTTCCGCCGCCGCCTAACGCCGCCGCGCGTGCGTCGCCGGTGACCATCGGGTCCCGCGTCCCCGCGTGCGCATCGCGGTCGCGTACCGTTTCGGCTAGGCCCGAGTCCGCGCCCCCTTGTCCCTTCCCTCGCGCGACCACATCCCCGATCCGACGAGCTTGGTCGCCGCCGCCAGCCACCGTCGTACCTCCCCTCTCAAATCCGTGCCGTTAAACGGATTCCCCCTAACCTCCTCTAGCTGCCGGCGGTAGCCGCTCGCTCCGGTTCGCCGCCGCTCGCTGGAACGCCTCGTGCGTCGTCGGCCGTCCGATCCCGGGCGCCTCCTTCTCCTCCTCCTCCCCTTTCGCCCCTGCCCGCGTGGCCGACCACGTGGCAGCCACCTCAGCCCCGGGCCCGCTTGACTGGGTCAAGTCACGCCCAGTCAGCCTCCTCCCTCCGTCTTCCCTCCCGTGCGCGCGGTCCACAGCAAGCCGTGCGGCTGCACGTGGGCTCGCCGCCATCCGTCCACCCGGCGCGCCGCGCCCGAACCGCGCGCACCCGAAACCCTAGCGCCTGCCCCCGCGTGCGCCCTCCCCACCGTGAACCCAACCACCGCCATGTGGGTCCCGCGCGGTGGACCGCGCCCACCCCGTCGGGCCTCCCTCTCTCCCCGCGCGCCCTAATGGGCCGCCTCCCCGTGGCCGCGCTCGGCCCAATGGGTGGCCAAGCCTTGTGAATCCCTCGGGCCGCGCCTAAGTCGCCCGAGGAAGTCTAAATCCGATCCCTCCTTCCTTTTCTTTTCCAAGGGAATTAATAATTCCTTTTCCTTGTCCAGAAAATCCATTTAGACCTCCAAAATTCATATCCCTCGATCCGTAGCTCCGATCGCCTCCGTTCCACTTCCAGTAATTCCGTAAAATTGAGACCTATTTAATGGCACTACTAATAGGTCTAAATAGGATCTTTCTTTTGGTCTTTTGTTTAGGTTTTTGATTGTTTGCGTATAGTTGCGGTTATCGGATTTTCGTCGATCGCGGGTTTTCTCGAAGATTCGTGAAGCTTCGTGAAGACCTTGAGCAAGGCAAGTCACCCTTTGATCAATTGCTCCTATAATTGAAAAGTCATTATTATTTTGTTTGCAACTTGCATTATTAGAATCACACACTTAACTTGCTTGGCCTCGGTTTGCGTGCCAAATCGACGGACCTACCCAGTAGTCGCACTAATTTCCGTAGGTCGTACTACCCTGATTCCTTGTCGCTCCACCCTTGTGGTACCTCGGTATTCGTGCTCTCTGAGCGCGTATACCAAATATCCCACATACACCGTTGTTTGTTGAAAACTTGGGAAATGGGTTTGTGAAGCCTTCAAAACCCGACATGTGGTGTCGGTGTGTTTGAAAATAAAATGAATTATGAAAACTCGCGATGCGGGGGTTGTGCCTATGTGGCACTGTCCCGTATTCGCATATAAGGACCGATTCCTGTGGGAAACTCATCGAACATAATCAAAGTGCAACCACAAGGTGGAATGGGACACCCTGGCTAAGTAACTAGTCGGTTCAGGGAAACCTCGCATGCCAATAGTTGGGAACGCCGGGGCGGGGTCGGACAAACCGGGTTCCTGGTAAGGCAAGGACGAGAAGCTTGCTCACTTACCGATCAAGGTGGTTGGAGTTGATTTGTGAATGCCTAAAATGTCCTATACTTACGTGAGGATTTGATCCTTCTATGTGGCATGAGGTAACCCTGGGTCGGCTTGGGAAAGGCTTTGTCGCGAACCTCTGACACCGGCCAGTGTCTGGAGTAAGTTCGTGTCTTGTGGGTAAAGTGTACCCCTCTGTAGAGGTTAACTAACTGTTCGAACAGCCGTGCCCACGGTCATGGGCGGATGTGAGGTGGTTCCCGTTGCGTAGATTTGTTTGCCTGTGCTTTGTGAAAAGTTGTTGTGGTGTGGGAATCGTAACCAGAATCAGCCTATGTGGCAGATGGACGACCTGAGTGGTCAGAAACGAATCTGTGTGATTCGGGATGTCTGCGGGCATCATAGACTAGGCTTCCCGAGTGGAAGCGGATTGTTGTGCTGCTGGGTAGCTGGACTCTGGGAGTCCGAGAAAATGAAAAAGGCTCTGGGAGCCGATTAATCAAGTGGAATGGCTCTGGGAGCCGAGAAGTAATGATCTGACCCGGGAGGTCGGTACATTGCCAAATGAGCTATTGAAAAACATCTCTTAAAGTCGAATCGAGACGCAAGTCTCTTTTCGGCCCAAACTTAGAAAGAAATAAATCACTTAGTGATTTCAAAATGTCTTCAAATAAAAGATTTGCAAAACAACCTTGCCTCTCTTCCAAGCTTGCATTAAACACCTAAGTTCCCGTGACTTGCTGAGTACGAAAGTACTCACCCTTGCTCTATATAAATATATATATATAGTTCCTCCGCCCTGAAGAGAAGATAAAGTGAAGTGAAGATTAGGGTTTCGTCCTGGTTCCCAGCCGTCGCCTGTGGTGTTGGGTATTAGACCGTTGGTTCCGCTGCTGCTGTTGTTGGTGTTCGCCTCGTCTGTGTCGTCGGTTGTATTCTCGGGCTGTCTGAGCTGCAACCTAAGTTAAGGTAAATAAGTCATCTATTTATTTTAAAGATTGCTATGATTTATATCTGTCACCGTGGGTACCAGCACTATGTCCTGGGACTGGTACCGAGATCGCGGTTTCGTAGGAAGCGGTTCGCGCCGTTTTCCCTACGACATGCTCCTGTCAGGTGCCGTTGTACGGCGGTATCAGATTGGGGTGTGATAACATGTTTATGTTTTGTTCTAGTATAACACTGAGCTTGTCGAGAAATGCAAATATCTGAGAGAGGAAAGGGAGTTCAGAAATGCTGCAAACAGTCTAACAGCCTCATCATCGTTGCGCTCATGCTTATAAGCCAAAATGTGTTTTTTTTAAAAAAAATAATTTTAAACTTGATCTTGTGAATTTTTATCGCAGTTTTATTTATACAACATTTGCTTTCTAATCGCCAAAGTCATTTACATAAAAATTTTAGCCATCAGTATTTTTTTCGTTGCTAATAAGTGGTAGGAATAGGCATAAGCATAAGCAAAAACAATATGACCAAGAAAGAGGAAAAAAGGTGTTTAGAAATGCTAGAAAAATTTGATAATATTTGAAAGAGAAAAAAAGAGATGAAGGAATGTCAAAATAATTGAGGAAGAGGAAAAAAGGAGTTTAGATTTGCTGCCAAAAGTTGAAAAATATTTGAAAGAGAGTTCACAAAACCAGAAATGGTGCACAAAAAGGTGTTTGGGAATGCTAGAAAAAATTGAGAATATTTGAAAGAGAAAAAAAGAGATGAAGGAATGTGAAAATAATTGAAGAGGAGGAAAAAAGGAGTTCAGAAATGCGATGAAGGAATGTGAAAATAATTAAAGAAGAGGAAAAAAGGAGTTCTGAAATGCTGCCAAAAGTTGAAAATATTTGAAAGAGAGTTCATAAAAACAGAAATGGTGCAAAAAAATTAAGTGAAAATTAAGATACAATAGAAATGGTGCAAAAAAAATAATTAAGAAATGGTGCAAAAAAAGTGAATTAAGTGAAAATTAAGAAACGGTGCAAAAAAAAGTGCAAAAAAAATTAAGTGAAAATTAAGATAAAATAGAAATTGTGCAAAAAAAAAGAAATGGTGCAAAAAAAATTAAGTGGAAATTAAGATAAAATAGAAATGGTGCAAAAAAAAAAGTGAAAATTAAGTGTAGATGCGGGGTATCGATCCCCGTACCTCTCACATGCTAAGCGAGCGCTCTACCATCTGAGCCACATCCCCATTTGATAGAGAGCTTTTCACTTCCTAGTAACAAAACAAACAATTGAGACGAGCGACCCTGACAAGAGAGAGAAGCAAAGATAAGAGGCCGAAACCTGCAGCCACAAGCAAGCAGCACGGCCTCCCGCTTCCACGTCTCATCTGCCATGGCCACCACCGCCTCCCTCCACCTCCACCTCCACCTCCTCCTCTCCTCCTCCCGCCGCCGCTGCCGCCTCCTCGTCCCCCGTGCCCACACCGATTCCATCTCCACCGGCCGACGCCGCTTCATTGCCGACACCGCCACCGCCTCCGCTGCCGCTGCCGTGGGTCCCCTCGTCCTACCCCGGACCCCGCTTGCGCGTGCCGACCAGCCGCCGTCGCTCTCCGAGTGGGAGCGCGTCCTCCTCCCCATCGACCCCGGCGTCGTCCTCCTCGACATCGCCTTCGTCCCCGACGACCCTTCCCACGGTACCCTACGCTACTTCCTTCTATCTATCTATCTATGACTATATATGCCACTTACCTTTGCCAATGCTATGCTTATACATTTACATGCTATGCCAGCAATATTGCAGTGCATACAACTTTAATTTCTACCACCTCCGTCCCAAATTAGTGGTCGCTTTAACTTTTTTCCTGTAACGTTTGACCATTTGTTTCATTTGAAACATTAGTGTAAATATAAAAAAAATGATAAGTCACACTTAAAGTACTTTTGATAATAAAACAAATCATAAACAAAATAAATAATAATTCCATAATTTTTTGAATAAGACGGATGATTAAACATTACAAACAAAAACTCAAAGTGACAAGTATTGTGGGACGGAGGTAGTACTTATCACTCACTGCTTTGTCTTTGTCTTTGTCTTTGTCTTCGTGTCTGCACTTTTTTTACTCACCCAATCTTTACAACTCTTGTTATTTTTCCTACTGAATGTAGCTCAACTGTTTAAGAAACACTGACCTTTGTAAATTTTCAACGGGGATCAAAATGTTACGTATATTGCTATTTGATTGATGGATACACATTCGAAAAGCATCTGTCTCTTGTGGAGATGTGCTGTTATTAACGTGTACTACCATTTTATAAGAAGGAAAACGCCTCATTAATTTGGAACACAGTATATTGTCTTCTCTAGTTTCAACTCATCAAAAGCTTTCTTCATGGATATGCATGCATATGTTACCAAAACCAAAAAAAAAAAGATGAGTGATACAATGTTCCTTATCTTTCTAGGTTTTCTTCTTGGGACGAGACAGACGATATTGGAAACAAAAAATGGAGGAAACACATGGTTCCCTCGCTCCATCCCGTCCGCCGAGGATGAAGATTTCAACTACAGGTTCAATTCTGTAAGCTTCATGGGCAAAGAAGGATGGATTATTGGCAAGCCTGCAATTTTGTTGCACACTTCTGATGCTGGAGACAGCTGGGAAAGAATACCCTTGAGTGCCCAGCTTCCTGGGAACATGGTAAGTTTGCATATACATCCGTGTTGTCTGCGCTTTAACAAGGATGAATCATGAACGGAAACCTAAAATTGGTAGTTGCTGTGATATGACAGGTTTACATAAAAGCTACAGGTGAGCAAAGTGCAGAGATGGTCACCGACGAGGGAGCAATTTATGTTACTTCCAATCGAGGGTACAACTGGAAGGCCGCTGTGCAAGAGACTGTCTCAGCCACTCTTAACAGGTAGGAAAAAATTAGAACGAATTTGTGAAATGGATTTTTTTTTTAGATAATGGAATGAGAAGTAGAGTTCTTTCTTAGATGTATTTACATAATTTGAAGTGCTACATTTTTTTGAAGTAGCTACCTAATCGTCTTTACAAAATCATTGCACCGGATGTCCATTTAAGCCACGACAAATTGGGCATGTCATGTCATATAACATCTGATGGGCTGAAATGCTACCACCTCCAAACTTATTTGAAAAATAATATAATACTACATTTCTTCTTAGCTTTTCTTTACTCTTCTCAGGCCATCATGCATGACTAGGTGGTCTATACATAATATTTGCTCCAATATTTTGCCTTTTTGTTTCTGGTGCAGAACAGTTTCAAGTGGAATTAGCGGAGCGAGTTACTACACTGGTACTTTCAACACAGTGAACCGGTCACCTGATGGGCGTTATGTTGCTGTCTCCAGCCGTGGGAACTTCTATCTGACCTGGGAACCTGGGCAGGTTCGGTAGCTCGAGAGTAGCTAACTTCACATTGTTTTGGTTATATTGTCTGCGGTCACCTGGAAGGTGTATTTTGAATTTTATGTAAATCTGTTTTTGCAGCCATTTTGGCAGCCACACAACAGGGCAGTGGCACGTAGAATACAGAATATGGGATGGAGAGCAGATGGTGGCCTTTGGCTTCTAGTGCGCGGTGGTGGACTCTTTCTGAGTAAAGGAAGTGGAGTGAGGACTCTTTTCAGCTCAAGTTCACTCTAACTTATTTGTACTAGTTTAGTTCCAATTCTTCTATCGAGGCCTTAATGACGCTCATGCTATATCTTATCTTCATCCACCAAACCAGATAACTGAAGACTTTGAGGAAGCGTCAGTGCAAAGCCGGGGGTTTGGAATTCTTGATGTTGGCTACCGCTCAAAGGTAAGTGAAATGGACTTGCCAACCACAAAATTAGCATGTGTGTGGGCAAAATAGATTAAAAAGCTCTGCATTCCATTTGCAGGATGAAGCATGGGCCGCCGGTGGAAGTGGTGTCCTGCTAAAAACAACAAATGGCGGGAAGACCTGGGTGCGCGACAAAGCTGCTGATAACATCGCAGCCAATCTCTACTCTGTAAAGTAAGCAGATATGGGATATGCATTCTGAAGATTTAATTTAGCTCATTGCTCTGAAAGTTTATGTGGGGGTATACAAATGACATTGAGTGAATGGCTGATCGGGCGATATCTTGCGTATATGCAGGTTCCTTGGTGACAACAAAGGATACGTGCTTGGGAACGACGGCGTCTTGCTTCGATATGTTGGCTGACGTGCAAAGTGCTTCAGTTTGCCTGTATCGTCCTTAGACTTTTTTGTACGTAATATGAACCTACACTTGTTTACACGGTCAGGTATCTATCTATGTACCTACTGCAAAAGGCTGCTGATTCGTGTTGAATTCATCCACAAAAGAGTGTAAATTCTTGTCTGTAACTGTAGCGACTGTTCCAATATGTGAACTGCACATCCACATGTAATATCTGATATATATAAAATGGAGCTTGTAAAGTGAGAAGGATTCAGATATTGCGGCCTTTGCAACTCATGGGAGTGCCCAAATGCCACTTCTGTTGGAACAGTACAGTGATATATAGAGTTGAATTGCTTGAAAAATGATTTCTAAAATTTGCCTCCTTTGGATGGTATCAAAATTTAGGTATGAACATTGAACTTTCAAATCCGATTTATTTTACAGTAAAAAAAGGTAAGAATATTGCAGAAACCGCATAATCTCATGATGCCACTCTTGTTGAATTCCGGCATTGAAGACAGTTTGATATGAAACACTAGTTTAGTAGTATCCAGAATGCATGCTGAAAAAGCTTTCTTTTACTTAATCGATCACAGCTTCAAATAGAATACACCTCGTGTGAGTGTATCAATGGACGGGATTTCAGGGGAAAGAAGGAATTTTTGTGACAAGTAACTGAGGATCACATCACGATCGGCAACCTTATCTTGTCTCGAAACTGAAAAGAGAGAGGATTTGCAACTGATGATGCCTGATTGGTACTCCTAGCCCTAGGAAGAAAAAAAGTGGCTTTTTTTGAAGGAAAAAAAATAAAAAATAAGGATTTTTTTTCCGTTGCGGGACGGGAGTGAAGGCACACCAACCGCCTCACCACTCGGATAAACACACACACACACACACACACACACACTCCCTCTCTCTTTCTGTACAGTGTCATTCCTTCCCCTTCCGCCGCTTCGAATTCGATCCTCGTCGCCGGCCGCCGCCGCTACCCCATTCCGAGTAAGCGAACGTGAAAACCCTTCAACATGCGCTTGTGCGTGGGATCTGTGTATTTTTAGCGCCGGCCTTATGCGGCCCTCCACTTTTTGTGCCATCCCTTTTCCAACAATTTAACCTTCCTTCCGCTCCGCCGTTTCTGGGATTTTTTTTCCCGCTCTAGCTAGATTCTTCTTCTTCTTCTTCTTCTTCTTCTTCTTCTTCTTCTTCTTCTTCTGTATAATCTGTTCCTCCTCCGCGCAGCTTCAACCTTTGTTTGATTCTGCATGCAATCTGATGAATCCCCGAGGTCTATGTCTATCTCGATCCCCTCCCGCCTCCCTTTGTTTTCCTTTGTGTCATTTTCATTCATCATCATCAACAGATAAACAGTAATCTCTCCTCCAGCTCCACGAGTACCCTTTTTTATTTCTTCACCCATCGATTCGGCTCGTATTACTGTCCGATTAGCGATTTCACTATGTTGTGTGATCGATTCAAAGGCGATCAACTGCTCGACCAAGTCCGGATTACCCAGATTTGTTCATGTTCCTGCCGATCATATATATATATATATATATATATGATATTATTACTGAGTGGTCATGTTGATCCTCAAGACAAGCTTTTGGTCTTTGATACCTAGTATAATTGCTTTTAATGGGCTTTTGTTGTTTGCACCTCCCTAGGTTTTGTGCTCTATCGATTATGCTTGTACCTTTTGCTGACTAGTCAGCTCATACGTGTACAACTCACGCTGCTCCAAACTATATCTGTTTCTGCTAATTTAGCGGAGCTAGTTGATGGCTTGTATCCCCTTTCTTTTCTCAACGCCATTCTCGTGGTGAACTGAAGGCAGTTCGTGTTGGTTGGTTGGTGGGTTTCGTATTGAACATGCTCATGTTAATTGTCAATGCAGGCTCTCCATCTCATGCCGTATGCACTTGAAGTGACTGACAGAAGGCCACAGAGCGTACCACACACTCGGTGTAGCACATTGGTCGATCATAACACAAACATCAGCTTTTCAAAGGTTAATTTATGCCTGGTTGTATATAAGCCTTGTCTTATTCACTAGGTAGATTACCGGTCTCATCTATTCATTCATGGAAATTTGCTGACTTGGTATTCTTTCTTTCATTCATCAGGGCCACCTAATACACAAGCCTGAGAACAGGTAAACATCCAAACAACATCCATTGGATTTGAGTATGCTTGATCTGATCTAGTGTAAACTTAAGAGGAACATATCCGATACTACAAACTTGAACGGGAATATCTTTAACGGTTTTTGAACATATAGATAATTCGGGAGAAGAAATAATTATTCCCATTTATCCAAAAACATCACCTTGCTCTAGAACACTGAAGTTAAGGAAATATGTGTCGCTTACTGAGCTTCCTCCCACCTGTATATGATAAGTTATCAACAGAAATATTTCTTCATCTTATTATATGATTTTGCTCTTCTGCTACTTTATTAATGTTGTATGGCTACCTCAAGTCCTCAACCTGTATGTACCACCATGTTTTTTTTCCTTATTATTATTCTGTCTGAATGTCTATTTATGATACCAGCAATCACCGTACTCAAATACTTTGTACCTCAATATCCTTGTTTTTTTTTCTCATTTCCCTTTGACTGGTATCCATTTCTATTCTGATATCTGTCATTCATATATCTGGAAAGCTACATGTTTACTGTCTGTTTGTGCTGTTGCAGGAACATTACATTTGCAACTATTTCCATTGGGCACAACTCGGATCAGAAATTGGTGCCTTTTCTTCCTAACATATTACAAGATATCAACAAGAGAAGCTGTTTCGCATCAGGAGCTGCTGGCACAGAGATCATTCAGTTCCCACAGCCAATAATACTTTACTGGTTAGACTGTCCAAATGAAAAGAACATGCACGATCAAGTCGATCATTCTAAACCATTTTCCAGTGGAAGTCCACCACCAGGAAGCACCTTAAGACAGCGTCAGCATAGGAGAAAAATCAAAAAGTCATTGACAGCACTCCCTCCCAGCAATGTGCTTGTAAATAATTCTTCCAGATCTGTTACTGCTCCTGTAAGATCTGATTCTGATATTCTGCATGATGATGATAAGCCTCCAAGAAAGAGCCCTAAAAAGAAAGGAAACAAGAAAGGGAAACATTACAGGAGAGCAGTCTGCAAAGGGCTCAATTTGCCATCAGAAACCCATTGTGAAGAGAATATTGATGCTGCTTCTCCTGTTGAGGTACTTACTGATCTGCTGGCTGATAAATTGTCAGAAACCTCATCCTCTGCTAGCTCATTGGTTAAGGAAGCTCATTTTGGTGAAGAGAATGGCGGGGATTCTGGATGTACAGGTTCATCTAATAGAACTGTAGGTGAGATATTTAGCTGCAAGGATGTTCATTACTTGAATGATGAATCAAACAATTACGAGAGATCACTATGTGCACGTGTTTCTAACTCTAATGATGCAATAGCATATTCATTGTTTAAGAAGTTGGAAAGGGACAACAGTGTGAACTGCAGTGTCAATGATGAGGTGAGGGATTCATGCCATCCGATAGGGGCCCATTTAAGCATAACTCATGCTGAAGATTCAAATGATTCCTTTGGATGCAGCTCATGCTGCTCAAAGAATGTTGCTGATAGCAGTAATCATACTGAAAGAGTCAAGTGCAGTAGTGAAGCCTGCAGCAGCAAGACTTCTCTTCCAGTTATTCCTGGGAGGAGCAGAACAAGATTAAAGGAAATATCTAGCTACAGTTTGACTGCAACTAATGGAGTAATAGGCACTAATAAGAACAAGCATAGTGGAAAATACAGTTCAACTTCTGTGTGGCAAAAAGTAGAAAAACTTAATGTGGAGAACACATCTAGAGCAGGATGTATGGTTGATTCAGCTATTCAGAACAAGGATGTACTGGAAAACATTAACAAGGTTGCACAACATAATCTAACAAGGTCAATGAAAATAAATCAGAGGAGAAAAGCATGTAATCAGCATTCACCAGACGAGAGAATTGAAATGGAGCATGCCAAAGAAAATGATGCACTAAACTCATGTCAAGCATTTTCCAGATATAAGTACAAGAAGCAAACATCAATACTGTACCAACAAACAAGTTTATCTTCTGACCAGGGTACTTCTCAGTCATCAGGGAACTACCATGCTCCTAAGAACGGTATTGTCATGGTGCCAAAGAATCACTTGCAACAGAAAGATGGATTGCCTATGATGCAACTAGTATATGACAAGGACTCCAGTGTTGATACTGGAGTAGGTAGCAACGGCTCAGCTGATGGAGATGGGAGCTCACAATCTGGTTTTGAGAAAGCAGCGCTAGCATCTTGCAACATGGGTTCTTATTTGGTCCCACAAGACACATGCGAGGAATGTACATCAACCATGCAAGCGGATCCTCATTATTCCTCAACCGAAAATAAGGCCATATCCACAAATTCGAATTCCAGGAACCTATGTGCTGATCCTTCCCCTGCAGAAATGGACGAAAGGTGTTATGTGAAGTTGACAATGGAGAATACTCCTCAAGAATGCCCTAAGTTGTATTCTGCTACTGGAAAACAATGTAAGTTGTACTCTGCTGCTGCACACGTTTCACAGAAATGGGTTGCTGTTGGGAAGAAAAATATACTCCACTTCGATGGTTCAGAGACTTCTGCTGTTGATTCCTCAGTTCTAACTAATTGTATTCCTATTTCTGCTAATATTGGTGTTGAAACCAATGTTTCTAGTGTTCTTGCATCAGCTAACAATGAAGTCAACAAATTAGCTGCTGAGATATCTGATAAACCAAACTCGTCTGGACATCTTGATTTGAGATGTCAACCGCATACTGATACTGGTACTGATTTCAACAAGATGAGAGAAGCTGTTTGTGATGCTTACAGGGCCCAACAGAGAGTGGAAGACGTCCAAGTTATCATTGGCAGGCCTCTTGCTGATTTTGAACAATTTATTTCCTCTGCTTCTCCGGTTCTGTACTGTAGCACTTGCCCTGCTGATAGAAACTTTTGCTCACCGGAATGGGTAAGAGATGGCCTGTGCTTTCATCAGAGTACTGATATCACTCTAAGTAGAATTTGGCAGTGGTATGAAGAACCTTGCTGCTATGGTCTGGAAGTAAAGGCTCAAGATTTCCGTAGGTCTAAAGGCTTGTGGAATAGTCCTCATCAGTTCACCACCTACTTTGTGCCATATCTATCTGCGGTTCAATTATTTGGGCAAGCTAAGAGAGCTAGCACTGGAAGAGTTGATAAGGAAGCAGCTGGTATGGATGTCACATCTAAAACATCTCCATGTCCGAGCTCTCTCCCAATCTTAACGAAACTTCTGCCACAGCAATTGCGTGAAACAATTAGCTCATCTGATTTGTATACTAAAGGTGATCAGCAGTTTGGAAATGGAGAGCTCATATTTGAATTTTTTGAATCTGAACAACCATTTTGGCGACGACAGTTGTTTGACAAGTAAGTACATAATCAAGACCTCTGAGAATCTGGGCTTTCGTTCTATCATATGTTGTCAGACTGTACTAGAAACGAATCAGAACAAATGGTTGATAAAAATTTGCTCTGTAAAAATTGAAACGCTTCAATGTTTGTGAGTAATAATGAGGGCATTGTACATCTGCAGGTACCAAATGTTGTGCATATAGTTCGAGTATGCATGATGTCTTACGCTGATATCATTTTATTATTCTTGCACTCTTCCCTAAGAGTCACTATTGATTTTGAACATTTCATTACTGCACACTTAGACTCTTGTTAGGATATTTACTTGTAAGATGTTCTTATTGAAGTATATTAAATGTGAATAGGGTAAAGGAGCTGATTAGTGGTGTGAAGCCATCAAGCTGCCAAATATCAGGAGACCCAAAGAATTTGGAGCTCAGCCTGTGTGATCTCCATCCTGCCTCCTGGTGCGTTGTATGCTCAAGTATTACTTTCCCGTTGCCGTCTATCAACCTTTTTTGGATGTAGACGCACAGAAAAACTAATTGTGATCGCTTGCTTAAAGAAGAGTACTGTGTTGAATTTCAGGTATTGTGTTGCATGGTATCCCATATACCGTATACCTGACGGTAAATTTCAGGCAGCATTCTTAACATACCATTCACTTGGGCACTGGATTGTTCAGGGCGCATCAGAGCAAGCTGATGACAGTCGTGTTGTTTTGCCAGTCACAGGTCTTGAGTCTTACAATGACAAGGTACTAAATGACTGCTACTCCATGAATCCTGAAACATACATGCAGGTTGACTGAAGATGGCTTAATCTTGGTGATGCAAAGACCCCAAGCAAGGCTTAAAAGAATTCTTATACTTGTAATGCAATGCAATGCAGGGGGAGTGGTGGTTTGAGGTGGGCAGATGCAGTGGTGAAGAAGATGCAGCAGAGTCGAGAGAAGAAGAGTCAGTGTGGAGGGAAGCATCCGAGGTAGTGAAAGAGAGAGTGCGGACGCTGAAGGAAGCTGCAACGGTGATGTCCAGGGCAAAGGTGGTGATGTCCAACAGATCAAACAGACATCCAGACCATGACTTCTTCTTGTCCCGGCAACTCTATCAGGAGCCAAGGAAGAACCACTAACCAGCTGCATGCCTGCCTGTACATACATACTTACTACTAGTGTGTCTTAGTGCCGTAACAACTCTCATTAATTACTGTGTCTGTCTTAGTTGTGTGTACATATGTAGTAGTATGCAATTAGCGTTGTAACATAAGGAAGGAAAAGCCTTCGTTCTCTTCTTGTACGTAGGCTGAGAAAGCAAGTTTGATGTGAGCATCTTCATCGTCAATGACAAGAAGAAAAGAAATAGAAGAGAATCATGATATGTTTGTTTTATTCCTGGTGCTGGAGATTGAAGAAAGTAGAAAGGCATCTATTATATAGAGCAGTCCTATGTAGTAGCTAAGCTAGTAGTGACAGCCAGAGAGATGTAGGGATTGAACATCAAGATGCATGGAACACATACGTACACATACTACCAAGTACATTGTACTCTGATCTCTCTGAGAGCAATAGCAGCAGCTAATAGGAAGGAAGGAATCATGGGCACTTGAGCTTGCCGTTGTGTGGATTAACCATGGTGTCGTAGCAAGGGCAGAGGTGGCGGGTGTCCTGCCCACTTCCCGGGGGAACGCAGTTGCATCGGTTGCAGCAGACGTTGCACATCTTGTTGCACATCTCCTTCTTCCAGTTGTTGGCGCATCGCCCCGAGCACGTCCCCTGGCAGTCTATACATTTAGTGGTACCATTTTAATTTATTAGTACAATTCCATCGCCTCTCCTCTCCTGCCTGTAATGTATCATTTACATACCTATCTTTGGAGCCTGCAGGAGGGATCTCGCCCTCTTCACCTGCATCTGCTGCACCTGCTACATCATCATATCATATCATATATGTCGTTCAAATTAAGGCAAGAACTATATATAGATAAGTAGTAGTATGTTTGTGTTTGTGTTCCTTACCAGCTGTGGATGGGAAGAAGAAGAAGCAGCAGCAGCAGAAGCATCGACATGGAGGAAGAAGAAGATGAGCAAGAGGAGGAAGCATGGCGCCATTGCAGTTGCAGGAGAAGGGACGAAGAAGCCATTGTTGGTCTTGGACTTGGAGCCGGAGGAGGCCATGGATGGATCTGATTCTGAGCTAGCTTGGAGTAGTTAGGAAGAAGAAGAAGAATTAACAAGGGACAGGGTTTAGCTAGAGTTGAGAGGTGCTGTGTGTATATATATATATATACTCCTAGCTAGCAGAGTGAGTGAAGAAGGTAATAAGCAGGAAATTAAATAAACAAATAAATAAAGCGATAGGTGATGCATTTGCAGATGCAGGGTAGGAGGAAGCTGCCTGCCCTGGCCGACATGGATCTTGACCACTGTCCCAGCCGCGCGGACCATCACCGATCAATTGCAATCTTAGTGGTAGCAGCAGCTTAAATTAGTAATGCCCAATTGTACGTACTAGCTAGTAGATTAATCCCTAGCTAGCTATGTGCTCATTTACTTGTCACCGTTGGTCATGTGTATTTCAACTTTTACTATAAACAATTTATTTATTCTTAATTAAAGCTATATGATATACTATATTTGTGACACAATATGCATTGCTAATATAGTATACCTATACGAAGAATATATAACTTCATAAGTAAAAAGGACGAGCACTCAACATTAAAAAGTATCTAGTGACAATTACATGAAACCGCAAGAAACATCAGCAGTAGTAATAGCATGAAGGGGTAGTATTAAAGAGTATTGCTATACGCACCCAGTTGTATAACTAGAGACATGCAACCGTAGATCAATCATCAAAATAAGAGATCATATTCATATGTATTGTAGTCGTTTATAATCATTGATCAAATTCAGTCACACTTGAGTCGAATAGTTAGATCGTTTACATAATAATTCTCTTAAAGTAATCAATCAAGCAGGTGGAGAGGGAGGGAAGGTTGTTGCATCTGAATATGTACACACACTATACTCTACTCTAGCAGACGATAGAGTAAAAAGTGAAGGAACAATTAAGAAGAAGACAGCAGAGCACGTACGCACGCACATGCACATGGACATGGCATTGCTGAGTGCCTGCGCTTGTTGTTGTTGAGCACATGAATGCACGCATCGCTACTTTGATCTGTTGTTGGGTTGGAAGATGGGAACCAACTATGCCCGTGCCACCACATCACATGCCTTGTCTGGTCTCTGCTGCTAATAGACTACGGCTCTCTTCTTTTGGAGGGGTAGCAACCCCTCCGGGAATCCCTTCCATTCACACCTAAAATAGAGCGATGAATTAACACATGATTAATTAAAAATTAGCTTAAAAGTTTTAGAAAATGGATTACAATAACTTTTGTATAGAAACTTTTTGCAAAAAAAAAAGCACGATTAGCAGTTTGAGAGAAGCGTGCACAATAAAAACGAGAGAGGTGAGGTTGGGAACCTTGAGGGAAGAAGACAGCCTATAGAGCCTACTAGGGTTTATATTGTTGTTTTCTTTGGGTTGGAAACTAATATCTGTTAGCTGGACAGAAACACTTTTGATCAACTTTGTACGAAAACCAACCAAAACCATTCGATTTTCACATCCTTATCTCTAACGGTTTCGTAAAACCGGACAACTTCCATAGCTTTTCGATGGTATCGCAGACTTTGATACGCAATGATCTGTACTAGGATAGTTTTCTCAAGATTCACTGTCTCCCTCTCCTTCAAGACCTTAAGGATTGTACAATCATAGGCTACTAATATATTAATTAACATGCGGTGCTAGTTCATGTATACCCATGATATACATAAATCATGCGCGTGTCACCAACACAAGTAACTTAGGGCACCATGCCCTTTGCACAATTGATCGATCACACCATCTTCTTTTCTACCTTCTCTTCTTCTAACTCTAAAATGTCAGGCATATGCGACCATCTTCTTTTCCACCTTCTCTTCTAATAATCCTTATATCTTGGCTTTTTTATAAAGATTATATATGCACAAATTAAATTTTGTCATGCGTACTATTAAATTGATTTACAATTTGTGACGCTTTGAAAGGATGTCTTCAACTTGGTGGATATTGGCAAAGGAATATATCGAGAACCCGTGGACAGGAGAACATAGGTAAAAAAGCAGATTGAGAGGTCAGGTGAAGGGAGGTGGCGGAGGGGAGGACTGCGGGTGTATGGATTTGTTGCTTGTCAGCCTTTTGATTTCCAAATGGGACTATGGTGTATGGAGATTTGTTCTTTTAAGAAAACAGTGTCCGACTCAATCAAAGCAACATAAATTTGGAAGACTTCTCAGGAACATGTAGAAAACAAATATCCGATCACATCAGAACTGCGAGGGTGTGTTTTGCGTGGGAGACAAAGTGACAGATCACTCGAGGCATAGAAGACGGACAAATTAAAATTTGTTTGGAAGCCAGCTTTTATTTTTTATAATAGGTAAAGATAAAAGATTATGGAGTAATGCCAAACGTTATTGGCTTCGTTATATGTATGGGGGTATGAAAACGGGCCGGGCCTCTTCTCTAAAGTGTGAAGGTTGGAACTTGGAAGTCGGAGAGCTCTCAATGACTTGCTGCTCCCTTCCTTTCGGTGGGCAGCAATGGCGATGGCGGACCTTTGCTTTGCTCCAAATGCAAATGCCCCTCCTCCTACCACTAGCAGCCCCCTTACCCCAACTTTCTTAAGCAAGCCCCAATCCCTACCTAAGGCTTGCCTTCCTTCCTAGCTTGGGTTACTTGAGATTAAGGAGGCATATGCCACTCCCACTCTCCTCCGCCAACGACGACTCCAATTCATCCGTTAGTTCACTTGCCTTGCCTCCTCGTACTTACTAGTCTAGTACTATTTACTTCTTTACTTCATTCATACCAACAGCAGGAATAACATCCCAACACTGCTTCCAAATTGCTTTACCTTTCTTCTTCATATTGATATTGGCTGGGGAGTGGGGAACCCCCTTAATTCTTTCCTTTTCCTTTTTTTTTACTTTCGCTAACCATCATCTCTTGTTAAACAATTTCTTCCCAACTAACATAAATAGTATAAATTTAACTGCCTAAACAATTTCCAATTTCATCCTGCATTGTACCTAAAAATGGAAATTGTGTTCCTTCCGATGGTGCCAACCACCATTTGTCCTGTACTATTATACCTCACCAATCACACCGCACCCGCCGTAATAGGATACTAAGAGCCCCATCGGTTGGCCAAGAGTTGATTATGGGTCTATTTGGATTGCTACCATGCCATTTTTTGGTAGAGTTTTGGCACTATCAATTTTTTGGCAGGGCAAAATTGTATTTGGCTTGCTACCAATATAAAGCCAATATATGAATTCTTGTGAAGATTATTCTAGATTCATGCCAATATGAATTCTAGTGAAGATTATTCTAGATTGATGCCAAATCTAGCATGGGCATTACCAATAATTTGGTTTTAATCCAAACCAAGCACAAGCACATGTACTATTTGAACTACCAAAATATTGGCAGGGCTAAGCTTTGGTAGCAATCCAAAATGATTTATTAGTGACTACAATAATTTCTGGCTTAAAAGTCATTGCTGGAAAAGAAATTACATTGAAAATGCCCTAAATTTAACTTCAAAAATTATGTTTTACAACAAATTTTGGCAACGGCTGATTCTTTTTAGACCAAACGGTGAGGCCTTAACTGTAGGATCGAATCACAACAACTAAGCCAACTAGAGGGGGGGGGGTGAATGGTTGGTATACCCAAAAACTGAAAACTTTTAGCGGAAATAAAAGTTACCATCGAATTCGATGAAGATCGGTCTGACCGAGATTGATCTGCCGGTCTGACCGCACCTGTGCCGTCGGTCTGACCGGTGTAGATCGATCAGTCCGACTGCTGAAGTTGCCTGCCTGCGCCTGTCGCCGCCGCCGGTCTGACCGCCGTGTGCTCGCCGGTCTGACCGCCGTGTGCTCGCCGGTCTGACCGCCACGATGCCGGCGGTCTGACCGCTGGTGCGCCACCGGTTAGACCGCTGAAACCCGGTGAAACACAAATCAAAGAACTCTTAAAGTGGATAACGACTTTATTGATTCTCTCTGTGTTTACAAAGTACACCAACAGCACTCCTTACAAAAATTTCGACTAAACTCGAAACCCTAACTCAACTCTCAACTCAATTGCTCTCAAAAGCGATACCGGGAAGCCTCACACTCCCCCTCTATTTATACCCGAGGTAGGCAGCCTAAAGCTATGAACCAAACTCATACTAGAAGTCCTAAACACCTTAGGAAACACTCTAGTACAAGACACAAATTTTACATAACCAATCATACCAAATTTAGACTCCTTTCAAATTCGACTCCGCATCCCATACGCACACAATACCTCCATCGTATGCCATATGGAATCTTCACCAACCACGTGCATCAACTCTAGCCTAAGTATCCCGCATGATCTCTGACCACCACGGACGTCGTCTTATCCCCAAGTCGACTCCTGGTCCATCACCGCAAATACTCTCCCGAGGCATCGAGTCACCTACACATAGAACAAACAAAGAAACCATATTCCGAGATCAAGCTATCTCCAACTTGACTCATGAGTAGCAAACAACAGTATTACATACGTATAGTATCCATCTAGAAGTCAAAACAATGAAACAATCACGGATATCCAAACAAACAACCCAAAACCGAAACCGACACAGAGTCGGCCGGTCAGACCGCGGGCTGGCCGGTCTGACCGCACGCATACCGCCGGTCTGACCGGCAACCCTTGCCCGGTCTGATCGGTCACATAAAATAACAGCACCTGTAATTCACCTGTAAATCCAATTATCTCCAAAACCACTTCGTAAATAAATTCCAAATATCAAAACCAATAATCTCCAATGCCAATTGTTCATCACAAAATAACAATTAAAAACACCTTTGATTTTACATTAACAACAATTCTTCTTTTCTATCTTAGGGCTGTGTGCTTGGATCTTATGGTAGCTCTTTAAGCCTCCGAGGTGCCACACTTAATTGCTGCAGTTTCTGAACTGTTGTCTTCAGTCCATCTAACTGATTTTATCATATGCAATTGGTTAGTTGCTTATCTGTCCCAAACTTATCCGGTATCCTACTTCTTACTCCCTCCATTTCTTTTGACACCATTAACTTTTTAAGCATATATTTGACCGTCTTGTTAAAAACTTTTGTAAAATATATAAAACTATATGTATACATATAAGTATATTTAACAATGAATCAAATGATAGGAAAAGAATTAATAATTACTTAATTTTTTTTAAATAAGATGAACGGTCAAATATATTTTAAAATTTTAAAAAATCAACGGTGTATAATATTTAGAAACGGAGAATTACAAACTTATAGAGCATACACACTTCATTATCACAAGCACACAACAGGCGTTTGTGGGTATCTTGACTACCTGTACACATTGCAAACTGTTTTTTTATGTCATCTGCAGGGCTATCTGAACTGAACCCCAACCGAACCGTTATTTAAGAAAAAGTTCATAACAAAGACATCCAATTCACTTAACTAGCAAAAAAAATGGAAATAGAAACCAGGAAAGAACCATTTCGAAAATCCAAATGCAAACAAGACAATTGACCATTTTGAAATGATGAAACAGGTCCATACGAATTAGAGTACAAATAGAGCCAGGGGAAGCCCAGCTTTTATGAAATAGTGGGATAGAGTCTACAGATAATGTGAAATAGAATGGTGTGTCCCAGAAACACACAACATGATAGCATGTGGCTTCAGAAGTCTTGCATACTTCTTATTTGAGGCTTCCCATGATGAACAACTAAGTGCAATCAAATGGGAGGCAATTTAAAGGCTAACTGATAGTAGTAGCCAAGCGAAGCAGTAGTAGAATTCTAACAGTAGAACATGACATTCTTGACGCTGTCCTTGAGTGCAGGAAGGGGCCTGACGGCTCCACCACCTGCAGCACGAGTGCTGCGCGATGTAGACGAACCTCCTCCACGACCACTCGCCATTGAACCACTGTCCGAGCTATCTGACTCCATGTAGAAACGGGCTCTGAACGCCGCCAGATGAGCATAGTATGCTGGTGGAACTGCAACAGCAAAATTGGTTGTTAATTCAGCCACCACAAATCTCTTACTCCCAACATATTTATTTATTAACTAATTATGCATGGAAAAGATTTCGCAGCAACTGTCACTTACCAATAGATACGGATCGTGTGCACCTCGCATAACTGCACAACAAGTGATTGCAAGTTAAGAGAGAGAGAGACTGTTCCTCGTTCAAGCCCCTGAGAACAACTGATCATGGGGTAAAGAAAAACTTACGTGTAACAGAGGTTGTTGGTGAGGGTCTGCAACGCATCAGCTGTGAAGTTGTTTTCATCCCACAGGACGTGGTAATGAGCGGGACGGCTTGTGCCCTACGGAGAGATGGGAGTTCATCATTTCAATTCTCAACTTGTGTATATTATGATGATAGATGGTAGAATGTCTCTCATTGTTGTTTACCTTGATTCCAGCATGGCTGCACAAGAAGAAGTCAAACTCCGTAGGATGGCAAATCTTGGAGTCAACAACAGTACCTGCAATGCAAATGAAGAATCAACGACAACTCCATAAACAGCGACACTAGCAAACCCGAAGCTATAGCCAACCTGCATAATAACGACAGAAGAACAATACTCACCAGGCAATATGTTCCCACTCCTGTCGACTGAATTCTGATCATTGTGGTTGTGTGCAAATAATCTCGTGTGGTGGCGCTTCTGAACCACAATGAAAGTCACCTGCGGTTGGTAATTTGCTTCGAGTGATGCACAAGCCTGAGAGGGAGCAAGACACAAAGATTAAGAGAAGTCATAAAGTCTGAAAAATAGGGGAAAGTTTTACCTTTCGGATTGCATCAAGCTCATGCAATAGAACCTGGTAAAATTGCCCTTCACTAACACCATCCCTGTGAAAAGGCAAAACTTCAGCTTTATACTTAAGTGTACTGATGCGGCTTTTCTAATCAAACTCAACCCTAAACTCCATGATAAAAATCAACCAGAAAACAAACATGGCCTTCAGCTCAAGTTTTCTGCATAGGGAAATTAACTTGTTTTGATTTCATGGCTCCAGTGAGCCTCAAATAATAAAATGTCAAGAATCATATTGGCTCAGTCAAGCATCAAAGACTGCTGAGATTCAACAACCTACTACCGCCAAGGATTTCCAGTAGTCAGCCTGAAACCGCTAAGTATTTGAAGAATCAGCTTGGCTCAGACAAGCTTGAGTGGTAATTTATGCAAGAACATACCTATAGAATATTATCCGTTGAGGCTTTTGACCAGTTGATCTTTTGAAGGATATAAGAAGTTCCCTGAAAATGTGGACATCACCAATTAATACTTTGTGCTAAAAAGAAATAGAAGGACACAGAGAGGAGAGATGTTGAGTGTGGCATGGGCATATACCTGACCATTCCACCGCAGATGGGCCCTCTATGAGGATCATGCGTGATGTTATACAGATCATCTATTAACTCTTGTCTGTGAGATTGAGCAGAAACTAAACCAGCATACTTTGTCACTTCAGGCCAATCTTGGGAGGCCACAACCTGCAGGGCAACATACATTTGTTCGCAGATTTTGACAAGAATGGTCACTAAATATAAAGCATTAGCTTGTTCAACTTACAGCAGCAATGGATGGGCTGCTATCTTCGCCAGGGTGAGGATGGGTGACATCAGCACCGAATATAATAGTAGGCCTGTCAGTTACCAACGGAATGCGTCTCGACACTGCATCAACCAGTACAGTGTTCCTTCCCCCAACCTATAAGATAAAATTTATGTTACACAAAACCTGAAGGAATCCATACAAAGATGAGTAGAGATATCACTAGACCACCAACCTTCACATTTATCTTCAGAGCAAGATTTGCTAGGATTTGTTTGTTCATTTTAAACACTTGCTTTGTGCAACAGCACTGGGAAACCAATCCAAGGTCAATTTCGCATATACGCTTCAAATCACCTGATACCAACAGAGTCAGCATTTGACTTGAATTTTGAGCACAATAGGACATAAATCAATACAAGTTAACCATTCAGAGTTGCAAATTTATATACCATAAAGAGAACCATTGTTATCAGGAAGCAGTCCGATAAGTAAATCGAGCTCCTTGTGCTGTGGCCCAAGTATGTTCATTGCATCATGGAACCTGGCTTTCAGAGCTCGTTCCACTTGATCAGGACGTGCATACATAGATGGAAGAACAGGCTCCAAAGCAAAGTCCTACAATTGCTTGTAAAACAGTTACTACTGTACACAAGTAAATGTCTAAATGATGTAAAATTGAATGCACTATATAGATGCTTCTGTATGTCAATGGGCAAATGCATCTGGAAGCATTAAGGGATACTTGCCATTCCTGAGGCCTGGCACATGCGGGCCAGTTCACGACAAAATCCACTAGCAACACTCTCTTGCACATTTCGAGCAAAATTGACACATATCCAGCTCCTGACTCTACCACCATTTACCATTTTCTGGATAGCGAGAAATGAAAATGATAAGGTTTGAGATAAAACAGGAACACCTATTTGATTAACCAAACTTAAGAAACAAAATATAATAGCTAGGACTAGAGTAAGCACAATCAACATTGCCATATGAGTGTCATAAAGTATGTGCAATGCAGACAAAGTTCAAAAGCTGTAAAAAAAACTGAACATAATGATTTGTAAAAACTAGCCACTACTTATGCATTAAGTATTATCACTACCTTGTTCATCATATTCCACTGACCAACTCTAGGCAAGCAATCCTTCTCTCTGCCAGTCTCATTATACTTGAGCTGCATGAACAAATAGGAGGATTGCGAGGTTAAAAATGTTAAAAGGAGTTTGAAGCGATGTTAATCATCCAATTTTTTTATGTGCCTTCTCATTTGACCATTGAAGCTATGCTTCATCCATCCAGAAAAGGGTGACAACATGATAAAAATGAACTTGAAAAACCATTGTTTCTACATGAATTGGTTTCCACCTACCCGAGGGGCAGGTAAAATCCGTGCCTCAACCAAGGCCAGACGCTCGCTGATCTTAATGCCAAACTCCTTTGCATAAGGATCTTCATGGTAGGAGTTGTGATTCACCATCTGCATACACACAAAAGAAAATGTTTTTTTATGTAAGCATGTGAACTTACACGTACAATGGTAGAGCGTCATAATTCTATGCAAGGTGTGACATACCTGAATTATGTCACGCTCCCTATCGTGTGGGCGCTGACATGTCTCCTCTAAAAGAGCCCTTATCTGATTCTGGTTCAGTCTCTTGGAGTACCTCTGTCCTTCCACTATTTTGCAGACCTGAATAAGCATAAAAGTTAAGTATGCACCCCCCCCCTTCCAAAAAAAAAATAGAATTGAAAATTTTGGCAGGACAAGTTAAACAAGGAAACAGAACAATATCATAGAGCTTTGCTAGCTAACCTCCATTGGTAGGTAATTTGGACGCTGCTGATTGCCAACTTGCAGACAAGGAAGATAGGTATGCTGGATCGCAAATCCATATGTCTCTTGAAAATATTGTACAACAGATTTCACTGTGCCTCCTTGATCAACAGGAAAACTGTGGCAAAATGAACATTAATTTCAGGAAGACAATAATAGTGGCATAGGATTGCCATCTACTAGTGACTTAAAAGGCAAATAGCATTTGTTATGAACAAAAAGAGAGAGAGATCAATACGTCAGTTCCCGAGTTGCCTGAGATGTCAAACCAGATATCCGATACTTCCGGCGCATGTTGCCACGGTGAGTAACTCCTACCTTCACTCCTCTTAAGGCCTTCTTGATCTAGGGTGTTGCATAATAACATAAAATTCGTTATTTAATTAGTTGACAAAAATGATATACAAATAAGCTAGACATATGATTCAAAAACATAAGACAAAACAAAGCCGTTGAAACTAAAGATTAATCATTGGGAACAGATGCAATAATTATCTGTATATCTTCTGTATTACAACAAATATACTGAGTTCATTTGAGGAATAGCTCTTCCAATGAAATAAAAGGTAAAGATGAGTAAAACAGGATCACCAGCATACCTTGACACGCTCAGCATCTGATAAGGGCCTCGAGCGGATGTCAGTATTTAAAAGCTGTATGACAAAATCTATGACTGGTAACGGCTCAAAGAAAGCAGTTGCCGACATATCTGAAAAGGCAGGAAAAGAAAAGAAGATATAAATTGAGGGCAAAATGTTCAAAAAGTAAGAGTACTAATATACAAAGGCATCTCTGTTTAAAGTTCAAGATTGATATTTATGAGTTAACATGTAAATTTTATGTACATGAGATCCTTCATGACATGATCATAAGCCTGGGGAAAAAAATCAAAGCTAAGTTTTTCAAATTCAGAAATGTGCAGCAAACATGGCATTGGTGATAGGATAAAAAAAATTGGACAGACCAGTTGGCCTCAGCCTGATGTTTTAAGGCAAAGGATTTATGAAAACCAGGCTACTTTATTGCTGGTTCCATGAGTCTTCAATGTTTTTTTTTTGACTGGGGTCTTCAATGTATTATTACATACAAACATAAATGCACATATGCACAAGATCATACCCATATTCATGATTCATGAGAAAGATCATGCGACAGAAACAGAGAGAGTTTTACCAATATTCAGTGACAAGCCCATTTGAGTAGGACGAATGCTCTGATAAAACCCACGCCAGGTTTCTAGTCCCTCACCGAGGGATCGTCTCCTCCCCAGGTCAGGAGAGAAGAAGGATCGACCAAAGGGTGCATATCTGTAAGAAAAATGGGATTGGAAGGATGACTCAATAGTTTGGATTGATTCTCCTATTATCTGAATATACATTCTACGTAATGTTTCAAAGAAATCTACCTTGCTGTTGGCAACTCTCGCAAGACAATATCAAGAACTTGCAAGGCCTCCTGGGGAGCCTCTGCCTGCCTTCCAGCTAGAAATTGCTCAAGACGGTGAAGATCAGCTCTTGCAGCAAACTTAATCACCACGTTATATGTTTTCTGACGCCTAGATCATAGAAAGAAGAGTCAGAATATACAAGATGATTTGCCCTGGTACTAGAATATCATGGTGATCAAAAAAGGAATAGGGGCACACCTCTCCGAACCAGAACCATCATCTTCCTCAAGCAAAGAGATGCGAAATTCTTTTGAAGTAAACGGCAATGGACCGGCCGTGTAAAGGCTCTTCCTACCATCATAGGCTGGAAGACGTCCTCCCAAGTATGACATCTTGTGCAGTCTCACCAACTCTTCCATCACAGCACGGCTCCGAATTCGTGATGTAAGCTCCGGGGTGATTGAAACCTGTCAAAGATGAACCACAAGGTGGCAAATAAAAACTGAGAGATTGAAAAACATGTAGGAGGAGCAAGGAGGAATGTGGCATGGAAAAACAAACGCACGTCATACTGATGAAGATCCTTGTCTGGCAGTTGAGCAAAGAAGTGATTCGCCTTCACTAAACATCTGGTTCCAATACTCCCACTTCCAGGGCGGTGAGGAAATTTAAATGATTTGGTGGACACAGGAACATGTTGGACAATCTCTTCCTGGCTCTCACTTAATTGGTACTGCACAGACAAGTCCTGAAGCTGCTCTGTGACCTCAAGAGCAAGAGACCGTGGTGATGATGCCTCCGGAGAGGCTGCTTCTGGTGAGGAGACATTGGCAGGAGGCTCATGTGGAGCATCCATTGCTTGGAGCAGCTCGGGAGCTATGGCAGACGGACCATAATAGTGCTGTGGTCTCACACTGCTGTTGTAGGGCTGTTGATGGCCCAAATGCTCAGCAGCAGCAGTAGCAGGACGCCATTGCTGCACCACCATTGCGCCGCGAGGTTGAGGAGCAGCACCATGGTAGTAGCCTGCTCCTCCACGGCCACCATGTCCTTGTGGGTGGTATTGCTGTGCCTGTGGGTAGTAGCTGCCACGGCCACGGCCACCTCCTCCTCTCCCACCACCACGAGGCTCACAGTCCTCACCAAACCCAGGCAGTCTTGGTCTCCTTGATCCCATTCAGTCGACCAACTCAATCAACTGCCACAAAGGAGAGTTAAGTTGACTTCTTACCATAATCCAGACAACTTCATATTCACAAAATCTATACAGCTGCAGTCCAGACATTATACAGGTTGTTGGTAAATTACAAAGGCAAGCTAACGAGGTCAATATCAAATACTACTTGTTTATTACTCCAGTGTTTAGGTTCAACACGGTGTTGTTTGTAAGAATATATACCATCTATCTAGACTTAGCTCGGATAGCATCGGAGAATATATATGCTTCGGACGCACGGAGCATGAACTAATTAATCAGGAATAGAAACAATTTACAGAGGAACTAACAGGATGGTAAAGGTAAACAAATTAAAACAGGAGTTGAAGAAGTGGAGAACACGACAGTAGGCTCACCATAAAGCACACACCCACCAAATGGCTTAAAACCAGAGAGAGAAAGAAGCAAACCTAACAAACTGATCGAGCTTTTTTTAAGATCAAACAAGAGAGTTCTGCATATTGAACTAGCCAAATTAAACACTCAAGTACATTCAGTTTTACCAATGGCTCAAACATGTGAAGAGATCGAAGAACACTGTTATGTTGGGAAAATAGAGTATATAAGAAAAGTAAGAACCAGATAAGGCAGGGCTTTTAAACGCCGAAGATCACGTCTTTCATAGAAAAAACAATAAAAATGTGGAACATTTCCGCATATCAATGCGTTTTACCACTAGGGTATTAGCAGGGATAGAACAAGGGAGCGTATCCCATGCACATAGGCACTCGCGTATACACACCGTGTACACCAACTAAAAATTATCATAAAAAATTCTAGAAAAATTCATTCATGTACTTTTAATAGTATTACATCTACGTGCAAAATTGCATCTTCAAATTCATTCTACATAGAGAATAACAAAAAAGATAAAATTCTGACAAAATTGCAACCTTAAAACTGTCAGATTTTTTGTTACGGCTAAAATATAATGAATTTGATGTTAAGATTTTAACCCTAGGTGTAATACAATTGAAAGTATGTGTATGATTTTTTCTAGATTTTTTGGTGACATTTTTTAGTTGATGTGCACGTGTCTACACGTGAGGTCCTGTGTGCATAGATATGTTTATGTTGCCATAGAATAAAGGATAACGGAAGAACAGGAACATCCTGAAAACTGAACACTGCGCATAGAAGGGAAAGGCCCAACCTTTTCCCAACAAAACAACTCACAAACCGGGATATTTTTAGGTAGTCTCACAGACGTCGATTAAAAAGAAAAATCGCAGCATGTAAGTAAAGAAAGATAGCATCAACTCAAAAGAAGAAAGCAAAGAAAGAAGAAAATAAACAGAAAGAGGCGCATTTCATATGCAAGTCGGTGTTGCAAATCAACTCGAACACATTACATTGTTGGACGATAAGCAAACAGAAAGGGAGAAGCGAAGGAATCAGTAATCAAAGCACAAGAAACTCGAGATATTTTTCTTGTTTGAAAGTAAGGGAAGTCGAGAAAGAAGTTGCAGGATAGCGGGAAACCAACTGAAGGAAAGAAATGAAGAAAGAGAAAACAGATCGAAGCATCTTGGATGGTAGGAGGGAGGAGCTAAGAACTGGCGATCACCTTGGGCAGACGGAGAGATTCAGCTCACATCCAGACGAACCTCGCTGGGCGGAAGATGAAGAAGAGTGGGAGGGTGATGTACTAGTACTAGTAGAAGGAGATGAGGGAAAACGCCAAGAAGAAGAAGAAGAAGAGAGGAGAGAGCTTTACGCTCCCACTACCAGTAATGCAGTGCTCCTGTTTCTACTCTCTGCCCTGCTTACCTCTGCTTCTACCACTATCTAATATACTACCACTCCTACTTAACAAGATTATTTACAGTAGTAATTTCATTTCTGGTTGGTTGCCTGCTTGCTGAGATATTTTATGTTAATATATGCATACAGTATTGACATAAAATATCTGCATAGGGCGAGTTTAGATTGGGGTGTAAAGTTTTATCGTGTCACGTCGGGTATTATATAGGGTGTCGTATGAGGTGTTCAGACACTAATATAAAAACTAATTACAGAATCCATTAGTAAACCGCGAGACGAATTTATTAAACCTAATTAATCCGTTATTACAACATGTTTACTATAGCAACACATTATCAAATCATGGAGCAATTAGACTTAAAAGATTCGTCTTGCAAATTAGTCACAAACTGTACAGATAGTTATTTTTTAATATGTATTTAATACTTCATCGAGGTGTTTAAACGTTCAATGTGACAGGGTGTAAAATTTTATGGTGGGATATAAACACACATAGATGTTTAGACTGACAATATTATGCTTTGTAACCCAATCAGAGTCAGCATGCTTAGGCACTAATAAAAAAATAAATTACAAATTCCGCATGTATACTGCGAATCAAATTTATTAAGTCTAATTAATTCGTCATTAGTAAATGTTTACTGTAGCACCACATTATCAAATCATTAAGTAATTAGGCTTAAAAGATTCGTTTCCTAATTTATACTCAATCTATGTAATTAGCTTTTTATCTATATTTAATATTTTATACATGTATCAAACATAGGATGGTAACTAAACTGGACCTTGGTTGTGTGTCCATGGCCATGCTGCCTGGGATACAACTATAACTACTCCCAGCCATTTCATTTCAGGCAAAGCTTTTGATTTTAGTGGTCTGTACGGTAATACTTCTAGTACAAGAGAAAAGAGGATAGGTTTGCTTAACCCCGAAGGCCGAGTGAGGAATTATTAAAGCCAACAACAACACAACAGTGCAGTTTACAACAGTACGAGTGGTCCACAGTGGAGTACTACGCTCTATATAGTGAGCAGTGGGCCCTTTCGAGTAGGACCCACACAAGATCTCTCTTCTTCAATACTTCAACACAAGTAGAAGTATACTCGTAGTAGTAGTAATTTTTTAAGGGCATGTTTAAGATCTGTAATTTTTTTCACCCTATCACATCGGAAATTTAAACACCTACATAAAGTATTAAATATAGGATAAAAAATAACTAATTGTAATTGATTTGTGGGACGAATCTTTTAAACCTAATTGCTACATGATTTGACAATGTTGCGCTGCATTGCAGTTTACAGGCGGAATCTATAATTTATTTTGTTATTAGGGGGTGTTTGGATCCAGGGACTAAACTTTAGTCCCTATCACATCGGATGTTTGACACTAATTTGAAGTATTAAACATAGACTACTTACAAAACTAATTGAATAAATGAGAGCTAATATGTGAGACGATTTTTTTAAGCCTAATTAATCCATAGGCTAATCATGGATTAATTAAGCTCAATAGAATCGTCTCGCGAATTAGTCCAGGGTTATAGAATGGGTTTTGTTATTAGTCCACGTTTAATACTTCTAATTAGTGTCTAACATCCGATATGATAGGGACTAAATATTTCTAGCCCCATCCAACCAGCCCCTTAAACTACGTTAAATACTTCAAATACATGTCCGTATATCCGATGTGACACGACAAAAAAAAATTTAAGCTCTGAATCTAAACACAGCTTGAGTGATCGAGTGCTAAGGTTTTTACTGCCTCACAATTAATGATGGATGTGATGATCATCTTCATTAGTATTATGCGCCAGTATCACAATTAACTCATCCGGATTCAGGAGGAGGGGAACGATCATTTTGATAAGCGGGGCTTTGGCTTTGGCTTTGGCTTTGCAAGTGATAAGTGAGCCAAACAATTGCAGTAAGCAATGGCATCCATCCATCAGCTTGGCATTGGCACTTTGGCAGTGGCAGTGGCAGGAAACACATGCATGATAGGAGGATCGTCCTTTGTTTTGCTTTTGTACGATAGGAGGATCTTTTCGGTTTCAAGGCATCCATCATCCAATCCTTTGGCATTTAAACCCTACGACGATTCTCAGTACTATTCCTTTTCAACTTTAGTGTACAACTTTTTTTTTCTTCTCCTCTGACCAATCGACCCTCCTTCCTTCCTTCCCTCCTTCCCTCCCAACTCGCTATTAATAATAGAACAAGTTTGTTATTGCAGAACAAGAAAGCTATCGATACATGATTAATAGAGTACAGCATTTGCATTACGTAGGGTAGGATTGGATTGTACTACCAGATAAATGTCCTGCTAATTGTGCTCATACTGCTATTAATTAGAGTACCGGATCGATCACTCCTTTCAAGCGAGGAGTGATCAGCATAGGCATAGCAGCATGGATTCCAGTAAAGTTTGCTTTGCTCACTGATCATGAATTGGCTTGGGCGGCTATAAAGTTAGTTAGGCGGCGTCACCAGTGCACTAATACGATCAATATGAATATGAAAAATGCTAGAATGATTTATACTGTAAATCGGAGGGAGTAGTATATACACTTCTGCACCATGTTTTAGTATTTAGTACTACTAGTATATACTCCAAGAAATTGTATCAGTACACGTACGTTACTACTTTATCTTGCATGACGTCAGGATCGAGATCAAAACTACGCGCTCGGCGCCGTGCGGCAAATCAAACTTGAAAGCTTGTTGGATGGATCATTGCACATTTTAGTAAGTTAGTTGGAGCAGCTTTTGTTTTCACTTTAAAGTAAAACGTTGTCTAGTTGGTGCTTGGATGAATGGATCTTCATGTTTCAGACATGTCATTTGTTACTCATGCATTATCTTAATCCATCTAAACCTTTATCTTAAGCAAACCAACCAAGCACCGGTACTTCATGGTATGGCAAAGCTGGCAGCATATTAGTTCTGTCCAAATTTTTATTTCTAACTTAATTTTAGAGTTGTTTTTTTTTCTCATCATACTCTACTTTCCAGCATTAGCTTTTAATGTAGGTTGGAGAAAGACCCAGGGATTTGTTATGCCCACAAACTTGAAACAAAATTAGGAAAAAAAATCCACTTTAACTCTCTTAAATATAGGCCAGATCTTACCCTACTAAAATCAGATATAATGACTCTTTTAACTATTAAAAGTAATAAAAATGACTTCTAAAATAATATTAAGGGGATATTGGTTAACATTGCCGTCAGTCCAATCATCATAGGAATTGAAAAATAGAGAGGGGGCATATGCCATCCCACCTCTCTCTCTCTACTTTCTTCCCTATCCCCTCCTCTCTAGGGATGCAAACGGGTTTGTCCGCGAATCCGTTTATAGGTAAAATTAGTGGGTAACCCACGGGTTTAACTCACTAGGGTTACAAGCGGGCTTATCAGCAAATCCGCTTATAGGCAAAATTAGTGGGTAACCCGCGGGTTTGACTCACTGGTTACCTATTAACTTAACCTATAAATGAGTTCATAAATTGACCCACTTGCATCTCTAGATGCGATAAACCGGATCACGACACAAAAATCCATTAGTTATCATCTATTTAACCTATAAGTAAATTCGTGTATCGGTCCTGCTTGCATCCCTCCTCTCTTCCCCAATATTTCCTCAACATCGTAGCAGTGCAATGCACATACCAGCGACGGAAGCAGCAGCATAGAATGCTCTCGTGGCCTGATAGGCGATAGTGGAGGCAATCCAAACTGCTGCCTCCAAGCATCATTCACTCATTCCTCATCACACGAGAGTCATCGTCCTGGTCAGTAGCGCTCGATCTCCATGCCCTGCTCCACGGATCCTCCTCCTAGCCGCAAGCATCCTTCTTCACCTTCGATGGCGTCCTTCGTTCCTCTTCCTTGCAACTGTCGGACTGTCCTTCGAAACGGTATATTTAGCGTCGCAACCTTTCTGGAGGCGTCATTCTTTTTTAGTGTCTCTGCTTTGTAGTGTCGTTGTACTTGTAGGCTCAGCGATGATCGGTTCGGTACTTGACTCCTTTCTCAGTAGTATGTGTTTGTGTGGTTGGTGGTCTGTCAAGCTTTTCGGATTGTGCACTATAGTGCATGTTTCTCGACAACCAACTATCAATAAAAACATACTTGTAACTTTTTTCTTCTATCTTAATATCATTTGGATGACCTTTCTTCGGTCATCCGAAAACAAACCACAACAGCATACGTCAATGAGAAACATGGCCCTTTTCTAGTTTTCAACTGCCCCAGCAGCTAGATCCTCATATGTCCGGTTCCCTTTTTTACTCCTAGGGACTGTATTTTTCTCCCGCTATATTTAATGGATAGGCATAGTCTCGTGTTGTTTTCCTTTAAAATTTTTTTGGCATTGATCTGATGTGGGGATAATCATCGATTTTTGGGCCACGTTTGTGGCTTTGTGCATAGATCGTGAAACACAGCTGCCCATGGGCCTACTTGGGCTGCATTTGAAACCATATCCATGCAATTCTTCTTCTGACTTTGGTGACTCGTTCGCTATGAACTGCGGAGCCAAGTCCGTATCTTATTTGTTTACACTTTACTAGAAAAGGTATCTATGCGTTACAAAACATTAAATAACTCTAAAAATACATTTTGTTTCATAATCTATGCTCGTGCGTTGAAACGAGAAAAACTAAAGTACATCAGACATTAAATAACTTTAAAACGATTTTTTAAGGAAAAAATACGAATTACCCCCCAAACCATCGTGGTCGACCGAGTTACCCCCTAAACCATAAAACCGAACATTCTTCACCCCCAACTATGCAAACCGGATAATTACCCCCCCCCCCCCCGCCTCAATCCGCGATGGTTTAATCTTATGTGGCAGTCCAGTCAGCAAATCTTTTAATAAAAAAATCGGTGGGCCCCACCTGTCAGTTCCCCACCCCTCTCTACCTCTCTCTCTCTTCTCCCTCCCTCACCGGATCTCACCGGCACGGGCTACGGTGTAACACCCTGAAAATTCGACCGACAAAATCAAAACTCT